GGGGATTTCAATGCTAAAGTGGGTAAAAATGTTATGGAGGGGTAGTAGGTAAATTTGGGGTGCCAGGGATAAATGTAAATGGGACCCTTTTAATTGAGCTATGTGTAAAAAGAGATTTGGTAATAAGTAATGCATATTTTATGAAAAAGAGGATAAATAAATATACAAGGTATGATGTAGCACGTAATGAAAGTAGTTTATTAGATTATGTATTGGTCGATAAAAGGTTGATGGGTAGGCTCCAGGATGTACATGTTTATAGAAGGGCAATGATATATCGGATCATTATTTAGTTGTAGCAAACAGTTAGAGTAAGAGGTAGATGGGAAAAGAGGAAGGTGGCAACAAAAAGTAAGAGGGAGGTGAAAGTGTATAAACTAAGGGAGGAGGAAGTTCGGGTGAGATATAAGGGGACTATTGGCAGAAAGGTGGGCTAGTGCAAAGATGGTAGTGGGGGGGTTGAAGAGGGTTGGAGTAGTTTTAAAAATGCAGTATTAGAATGTGGGGCAGAAGTTTGTGGTTATAGGAGGGTGACGGCAGGAGAAAAGAGGAGTGATTGGTGGAATGATGAAGTAAAGGGTGTGATAAAAGAGAAAAAGGTAGCTTATGAGAGGTTTTTACAAAGCAGTATGTTATAAGAAGAGCAGAGTATATGGAGAGTAAAAGAAAGGTAAAGAGAGTGGTGAGAGAGTGCAAAAGGAGAGCAGATGATAGAGTGGGAGAGGCATTGTCAAGAAATTTAAATGAAAATAAGAAAAATTTTTCGAGTGAGTTAAACAAGTTAAGAAAGCCTAGGGAAAGTATGGATTTCAGTTAAAAACAGAGTAGGGGAGTTAGTAGGATGGGGAGACGAAGTATTAGGTAGATGGCGATAATTTTTTGAGGAACTTTTAAATCTTAAGCAGAAAAAGTGGCAGTAATTTCATGCCCTGGTTCGGGAGGTATACCATCTTTTAGAGTGAACAAGAGCAGAATGTAAGTGTGGGGAGGTACGGAGGCATTACAAAAAAAAAGGTTAAAGCAGCTGGAACTGATGGGATCATGACAGATATGTTAAAAGTCAGGGGGGATTAATAGTGTTGAGTGTTGGTACTTTATGTTTAATAATGTAATGAAAAGAGGGGAAGGTACCTAGGGATTTGGCAGCGACATGTATATCACTTTATATAAAGGGAATGGGGACAAAAAGAGATTGTAAAAAATTAAAGAGGAATAAGTTTTACCTGAGTATACCAGGAAAAGTGTACGGTAAGGTTTATAATTGAAAGAATTAGAGGTAAGACAGAATGTAGGATTGCGGATGAGCAAGAGGTTTCAGAGTGGGTAGGGGATGTTTAGAATCAAGTGTTTACATTGAAGCATGTATGTGAACTGTAATTAATAAAGGTAGGAAGCTTTTATTTCATTTAAGATTTAGAAAAGGCATATGATAGAAGTGGATGAGAGGAGCAATGTGGCAGATGTTTGCAAGTATATGGAATTAGGAGGTAAGTTATTAAATGCTGTAAAGAGTTTTTATAGGATAGTGAGGCTCAGGTTAGGTGTGTAGAGAGAGGGAGACTACTTCTTCCGTAAAAGTAGTCTCAGACAAGGATGTGTTAATGTCTCCATGGTTGTTTAATAGATTTATAATGGGGTTGTAAAGAAGTAAATGCTAGGGGGGTCGTGCGAAGGGTGGGATTAAATTTTGGGGAATCAATTCAAAATGGGAATTGACAGTTACTTTTTGGCTGATGATACTAGTGCTTATGGGAGATTCCTAAAGAAAAATTGCAAAAGTTAGTGAGGATGAGTTTGGGATGTGGTGTAAATGTAGAAAGTTGAAAGAAACATAGAAAAGAGTAAGGTGATGAGGTGTCAAATGATTTTAGATAAGAAAAAATGGATATCAAATTGGGGAGGAGGGAAGTAAATGGAAAGAATGAATGTTTTCAGATACTGGGAGTTGACGTGTCGGTCGGATGGATTAATGAAGGATGAGGTAAATCATAGAAATAGATGAGGGAAAAAAGGTAGAGTGGTCGTTGAGGTTATATGTGGAGTCAAAAAACGTTATCTATGGAGGCAAAGAAGGGAATGTATGAAAGTATAGTAGTACCAACACTCTTATATGGGTGTGAAGCTTGGGTGGTAAATGCTGCAGCGAGGAGACGGTTGGAGGCAGTGGAGATGTCCTGTTTAAGGGAAAATGTGTGATGTAAATATTATGCAGAAAATTCTGAGTGTGGAAATTAGGAAAAGGTGTGGAGTTAATAAAAGTATTAGTCAGAGGGGAGAAGAGGGGTTGTTGAGGTGGTTTGGTCATTTAGAGAGAATGGATCAAAGTAGAATGACATGGAAAGCATATTAATCTATAGGGAAAGGAGGGCGGGGTAGGGGTCGTCCTCGAAAGGGTTGGAGGGGGTAAAGGAGGTTTTGTGGGCAAGGGGCTTGGACTTCCAGCAAGCGTGCGTGAGCGTGATAGGAGTGAATGGAGACGAATGGTACTTGGGACCTGACGATCTGTTGGAGTGTGAGTAGGGTAATATTAGTGAAGGGATTCAGGGAAACCGGTTATTTTCATATAGTCGGACTTGAGTCCTGGAAATGGGAAGTACAATGCCTGCACTTTAAAGGAGGGGTTTGGGATATTGGCAGTTTGGAGGGATATGTTGTGTATCTTTATATGTGTATGCTTCTAAACTGTTGTATTCTGAGCACCTCTGCAAAAACAGTGATAATGTGCGAGTGTGGTGAAAGTGTTGAATGATGATGAAAGTATATTCTTTTTGGGGATTTTCTTTCTTTTTTTTGGGTCACCCTGCCTCGGTGGGAGACAACCGACTTGTTGAAAAAAAAATTATATATATATATATATATATATATATATATATATATATATATATATATATATATATATATATATATATATAATATATATATATATATAATCATCCGGTATAATGTTTTCCATCATTTTTATTCTGTCTCCAATTAAAATCAACTTTGCCTAGTATACAACAATAACGAGAAAAGGAATTACGCATGTACGACAACAGAACACCAACCACACACACACACACATGATAACGACATACAAAATACTGCATGGTATAGATAAGGTGGACAGAGACAGGATGTTCTAGAGAGGGGACACAGAAACGAGGGGTCTCAATTGGAAGACTCAGATGAGTCAAAGGGATATTTGGAAGCATTTCTCAGTCATAGAGTTGTCAGGAAGTGGAATAATCTAGCAGATGACGTAGTTTACCTGGAGAGAGTAGTGGAGGCAGGAACCATACATAGCTTTAACACGAGGTATGATAAAACTCATGGAGCTGGGAGAGAGAGGACCTAGTAGCGATCAGTGAACAGGCGGGGCCAGGAGCTGAGTCTCGACCCCTGCAACCACAATTAGGCGAGTATATATATATATGTATATATAATATATATATATATATATATATATATATATATATATATATATATATATATATATATATATATATATTATATATATATATATATATATATATATATATATATATATATATATATATATATATATATATATATATATATATATATATATATTATATATATACATACATATATATATATATATATATATATATATATATATATATATATATATATATATATATATATATATATATATATATATATATATATATATATATATATATATATATATATATATATATATATATATATATATATATATATATATATTATATATATCTTCTTTCAACAAACCGGCCGTATCCCACCGAGGCAGGGTGGCCCAAAAAGAAAAACAAAAGTTTCTCTTTTTAAATTTAGCAATTTATACAGGAGAAGGGATTACTAGCCCCTTGCTCCCGGCATTTTAGTCGCCTCTTACAACACGCATGGCTTACGGAGGAAGAATTCTGTTCCACTTCCCCCATTGAGATAAGAGGAAATAAACAAGAACAAGAACTAGAAAGAAAATAGCAGAAAACCCAGAGGGGTGTGTGTATATACTATATGCTTGTACATGTGTAGTGTGACCTAAGTGTAAGCAGAAGTAGCAAGACGTACCTGAAATCTTGCATGTTTATGAGACAGAAAAAAGGACACCAGCAATCCTACCATCATGTAAAACAATTACAGGCTTTCGTTTTACACTCATTTGGTAGGATGGTAGTACCTCCCTGGGCGGTTGCTGTCTACCAACCTACTACCTACATATATATATATATATATATATATATACATATATATATATATATATATATATATATATATATATATATATATATATATATATATATATATATATTATATATATATATATATATATATATATATATATATATATATATATATATATATATATATATGTATATATGTATATATGTATATATGTATATATATATATATATATATATATATATATATATATATATATATATATATATATATATACACACATACCCAGGAGCTATGACTCAACCCCTGCAACCACAAATAGATGAGTACACACACCTGACGACACGAGGACAGAAGGGTTGGGGAGAGAGGTACATGATAACGACATATAAAATTCTGAGAGGGTTTGACAAGGTGGACAGAGACATCATGTTCCAGAGATAGGACACAGCAACAAGGGGTCACAATTGGAAGCTGAAGACCCAGATGAGTCACAGGGATGTTAAGAAGTATTTCTTCAGTCACAGAGTTGTCATGAAGTGGAACAATCTGGAAAGTTATGTAGTGGAGACAGGAACCGTAGATAGCTTTAAGAAGAGGTATGAAAATTCTCATGGAGCAGGGAGTGGACCTAGTAGCGACCAGTGAAAAGGCTGGGCCGGGAGCTATGAATCGACCCCTGCAACCAATTAGGTGAGTACACACACACACACACACACACACAACATTTCTTAGTGAATAAAACATATTTCCCTTTGTATTGATAATAGATCCTAGTGCAAGTTTACAAACTGCAGAAAAAATACCCTTGTGTTGTGCCTTGACAGACTTGCTCAGACCAAGTGATGAGTGATGACCAGCGACCCTGTGATAGACATATACAGAATAAGGCGGCAGCCCAGGAATATTGTCAGAAGCTCAAATCAGACATATTTGCTGGTAAGAATATCACCTGACATATCATGTTATAGAGCCTAGGCTGTTTCATTACTTCCATAACTTTTGCATTTTACATTATGAATAAATTTCTAATTCAACCTTTTTGTGTTAGCGTATTCGTAACATCCTTCCAAGGAGTGTACGAATGGTATATAATACCGACAAGATGAGAGTAAGACACATGTGCAACATCTGGGTATCGTCTACAATAAAGATACCCAGATGTTGCACATGTGTCTTACTCTCATCCTTCCAAGGAAAATAATAAAGTATAATTGTGCAAAGTTTGTATATGTCAGTAATTTATCTAGCACTAAAATTATAACTAACATAAAAATTTAACTTAATGTACCTACCGAAAATTTAGGTAATGCAACTATTTACCAATCTGTTGTGAATCAAACACTAATTATTATTATTATTAGTTCATGGGGAAGAGCTAAACCCGTGGGGCTCATACAGCGAGGAAATGAGAGGTAATTTGATTTGATCCAATGAAAGGGAGGTAAGCTCCAGTTCGTTGGATGAAGAACCCTTCAAGGCCCCGCCTTTAAAGTCCACTATTACTGAGCTGCAGGTCTTTTATGTGCGTAATATTAGTAATGAATTACAGAGTGCCACCTGACGGTTGATCCTGAACCTTACTACCGTGACTGCTTGTACGACCTGTGTTCCTGTGACAAAAAGATGGACGATTGTTTCTGCCCTCTGATGGCAGCTTTTGGCAAGGAATGTGCCAGGAGAGGCACAATCATTGACTGGCGCGCTGATGTTCGCGAATGTGGTATGTCAGCATTTTTTAAAAATAGTTTCCCCTTTCAAATATCTTAGAAACGCCCTGTTTGATTTGTTTTAATTTGAAATTCTTACGCGTATATTGATTTTTTACCAAGGACCCTCAGTGGAAATAAGTCACTTTGTCTGACTTGTTTTGGGTTATCCTAGGTAATCTACACACAAATATTGTGCAACATTTGTAATCATCTTACGATTGTATAATTGTACCTGAGTTACTTATTTAACTACAAAATTGGGGTAGAGGAGACTAGGCTTAAGGGATGAGGGGTTGCCTATAATTTTCCTTGTAATTCCCATTGCAGAAATATACTGCTCACATGGCCAGAAGTACCAAGTGTGTGGAAACAGTTGTGCTCACACCTGCTTTGACCTAGCCACTAACACAAAGTGCACCAGCAAGTGTGTTGAAGGTTGTAACTGTGCGCCAGGATATTCTCTGAATGATGCTGGCTCTTGCGTTCCCATCACTCAGTGCCCCTGTGTTTACAAAGATAAGGACTTCCCAGCAGGACACAAGATGTTGCAGCCCCAGGAAGATGGAGAGTATCTACTCTGGTCAGTTCTATACTACTGTAATAATAAAAATAATAATAATCATAATAATATTATTAATTTATTTCAGCATGATACAATGTATAAAGATGGGTGAAATTTAGGTGTTCATGCAGAAAGCCCATTTTTATGTAAAAGATAAAGATTTTTTTTTTTTTTTTTTGCAAAGGTTACAATATGTAATTACAATTTTGATTTGTTAAGTACAAAGAAAGCCACTATCATGCCGGGGCATTTTGGGCAAACTTAAACCTAACAAGATTAAAAGGGCAATAACTAATTGTTTGCCTGTATATACGGTCGCTAAGGGGTCATAAACAATAAATTTGGGAATTACAGTGAGGATAAACAAGCATATTAACACATTATTTAACATATTTAATTGTTGTAAGGATTACAGGAAATGCAGATTCCGTAACATATTAACACATTTTGTAACACATTCATCATATTGAACAGTTGTGAGGATTACAGATAATGAGAATAAGAAAATACTTTTTCATAGGCTTGAGATAATGAGAATATGAATATATAGTTTTATATGTGTTTCTGATTGAGAGAATTGTTTAATTAAGCTGTTATCCTATCTCAGCTCGTTTCAAAGCCCAGCCAGGTACAGTATACTCAGTATATTTAGCTTTCATTAGAGCACCGTTTCACATTATTATGAACAAAACTTAGGCTTGCTCTATCGTCTTCATATCCATGATACCCTTTATTTATCTTCTTGAATAATATTTTTTCTATAATTTAATTATATACTGATGTATGTTAATATATATATGTATATATATATATATATATATATATATATATATATATATATATATATATATATATATATATATATATATATATATATATATATATATATATATATATATATTTACAGCACGTGCTCCAGTGCTGTTTGGAACTGTGTGGAAGAACCTACAGACAGTGGGTTGATTGCTACAGGTCCTCCAGTTCTCTGCAATGATGGAGCTGGTGAAGTGTACAGCGACTGTCTTCCACAGGAGGAACTTACCTGTCAGGTAAACTATTCGGTCGTTTATTGCTATATTCGTGGAGAGACGCAAAGCACGTAAAGATCGTACGGCTTCTGGGAAATGGGAGGTAATCAGTTTTGATTCGAGGAAAGGGAGGGTAATTCAGATTTCTTGGACGAAGAGGCTTCGCCAGCATCAGTGCATACCTCTTTGAAAGTCCGTGCTGTATAATCCTCTGGGTTTAGCGCTTCCCCCTTGATTATAATAATAATAATTTGAAAGTCCGTTTATTGAGTCTACTCCCGTTGCTACTGTTCAGGTTATTCCACGTTTACATCAGTGTTTGTCGTTGCAGACAATGCACATACGTGTGTCCACTGATATTGTTCAGGTCATTCTACTTATTAACGTCAATGTGTGTCACTGCAGACAATGCATTTGCGTGTTGCTACGATGGAGGAGTGCGTGCCTGGTTGTGGGTGCCCAGAAGGTTATGTACGTGATGGCAAGAGAGGCTCCTGTATCCTTCGCACTGAGTGTCCTTGTCACCACGGCGGCCGCTCCTACCAAGATGGAGACTCCATCACTGAGGACTGCAACACCTGGTAGGTATTACCATTCTCGCACTAGTGATAACACCTGGTAGGTATTACCATTCTCGCACTAGTGATAACACCTGGTAAGTATTACCATTCTCACACTGATAACACCTGGTAAGCAATACCATTCTCGCACTGGTGATAACACCTGGTAGGTATTGCCATTCTCGCACTGGTGATAACACCTGGTAGGTATTACCATTCTCGTACTAGTGATAACACCTGGTGAGCAATACCATTCTCACACATGATAACACCTGGTAAGCAATACCATTCTCGCACTGATGATAACACCTGGTAAGTATTACCATTCTTGCACTAGTGATAACACCTAGCAAGTATTACCATTCTCGCACTAGTGATAACACCTGGTAAGTATTACCATTCTCGCACTGGTTATAACACCTGGTAATCAACATTCTCGTACTGGTGATAACTCCTGATAAGCAACTTTCTCGTACTGGTGATAGCACCTGGTAAACAACATTCTCGTACTGGTGATAACTCCTGATGAGCAACATTCTCGTACTGGTGATATCACCTGATAAGCAACATTCTAGTACTGATGATAACACCTGATAAGCAACATTCTCGCACTGGTGATAACATCTGATAAGCAACATTCTCGCACTGGTGATAACACCTGATAAGCAACATTCTCGCACTGGTGATAACACCTGATAAGCAACATTCTGGCACTGGTGATAACACCTGATAAGCAACATTCTGGCACTGGTGATAACACCTGATAAGCAAAATTCTGGCACTGGTGATAACACCTGATAAGCAACATTCTCGCACTGGTGATAACACCTGATAAGCAACATTCTTGTACTGGTGATAACACCTGATAAGCAACATTCTCGCACTGGTGATAACACCTGATAAGCAACATTCTTGTACTGGTGATAACACCTGATAAGCAACATTCTCGCACTGGTGATAACACCTGATAAGCAACATTCTTGTACTGGTGATAACACCTGATAAGCAACATTCTTGTACTGGTGATAACACCTGATAAGCAACATTCTTGTACTGGTGATAACACCTGATAAGCAGCATTCTCGCACTGGTGATAACACCTGATAAGCAACATTCTTGTACTGGTGATAACACCTGATAAGCAACATTCTTGTACTGGTGATAACACCTGATAAGCAACATTCTTGTACTGGTGATAACACCTGATAAGCAACATTCTCGCACTGGTGATAACACCTGATAAGCAACATTCTCGCACTGGTGATAACACCTGATAAGCAACATTCTTGTACTGGTGATAACACCTGATAAGCAACATTCTTGTACTGGTGATAACACCTGATAAGCAACATTCTTGTACTGGTGATAACACCTGATAAGCAACATTCTTGTACTGGTGATAACACCTGATAAGCAACATTCTTGTACTGGTGATAACACCTGATCAGCAACATTCTTGTACTGGTGATAACACCTGATAAGCAACATTCTTGTACTGGTGATAACACCTGATAAGCAACATTCTTGTACTGGTGATAACACCTGATAAGCAACATTCTCGCACTGGTGATAACCGTACAAATATTAAAGTTTCTGGTTGCGCTGACCCAACAAGTGTTTCATTTATGTGAACATAATTATATGTCCCATCGAGATAAGTTCCTTGATTACTGGTGAGGGGCTCTCGATCTAAGGAATTGTATCTGTGCTCCAGTTCCTTGAATCGATTCTGAATACCTTCCATTCTTTCAAGCGCTTCATGACCCCTACGGGTTTAGCGCCCCTCCATGAATGTAGCAGTAGTAGTAGAAGAAATAATGTTATTTGTGTTCACCTTTTTATATATGTTATGTGCACTTATTTTAAATTTGTTTATTGTCGTCACATTATTGTCGTCGCGTTGACCCCCGGAACTCTCTTCAGGTAAATACTCCAGGTAAACGTGGGTTCATTTGTACACAGGTGCGGATCTACTACGAAACTAATGATGCTTAAAGCTTCAGGGCTCCTAATCCCGGAGGGGCCCCAGAAGCCACTTTAGTCCACATTGCTTAAAATTTTTGGGTCTGCTGTATGCTAAGGGGCCCCCATAGCAATTCAAGCTTCAGGGCCCCAAAAATCTAGGTCCACCACTGTAAATTTTACCTTTGACCAGTATTTGTTTCACATTTCGTCATTGATGTAAAATTAATAATATTAGAGCATTTATAATTTCCGTTATGTTGTGCTCTTAGATGATATATTAACTCTTGTGTTACTTGGATGGCAGTACATGTGGAGGTGGACAGTGGGTGTGCACAGACCGCCTGTGTCCCGGGGTATGTTCAGCTTGGGGAGACTCTCACTACAAGACCTTCGACGGACGCCTCTACGAGTTCCAGGGAGTGTGTGACTACCTTCTGGCCAAGAGCAAGAACACCGACATAGGAACCTTTGACATCACTGTACAGGTGAGTATGGAAACACTTGTCAAATGTTAGAATACTAATGGAACACTGGGGCACACCTGAGTATTATAGTCTGTGATGAAGCACTTAACTCGAGTTCACACAGCAGGGTTTACTACCACTGAACAGCAGAGCTCACACAACAGGGTTCACTTCCGTAGAACAGCAGAGCTCACACAGAAGGGTTCACTCCCACAGAACAACAGAGCTCACACAGAAGGGTTCACTCCCACAGAACAACAGAGCTCACACAGAAGGGTTCACTCCCACAGAACAACAGAGCTCACACAGAAGGGTTCACTCCCCTCCTTCCTTCCCACGCAAATAATTAAGTTATACATTTTATTTAAATGACTTAACAATTTAATCACTGACACCATTTTAAGAAGCTCTTAACAAGTCATTGATAGATTCTTCGCATAATTAAAGCCGGATATTTCCTTGGCATTAACGATGATGATACCAGTTTCTAACTTTCAGATAAAACTTAATAAACAATTTAACCCTGCTTTAATTTACGTAATATAAAATAGCTCAATTTACCTAACCAAGCCTGTGCACATACTATGCACTTGGTATCTGCAGACATGGGAAATCTGGAAAAACAGACGGGACGTGCAACTATGACCACCCTAGAAAATGCCGTGCCCATATGACAACAGGAAAATGCAAACTCAATTCCTGTAAGCTTTTTCACCCTGAAATGTGTACCTCTTCAGTACAGGAAAGACTGTGCTATAACTTAAATTGCCAGGCACACCATCTAAAGTTAGTTTAGTTAGTTTAATATGTTTATTATGCACCCCATACCCATCCTGTGGGCGGTAGTCAAAAGATTACAGAGGTACATAATTGGTCCAGGGACTGGACTCCAAAGTTTTGATAGCTGAGCAAGTTACAGAGGTAATGAACTCACAGTTTACAAAGGTAATGAACTCACAATTTACAAAGGTAATGAACTCACAATTTACAAAGGTAATGAACTCCAGGTAAGTCTGGTCACAATCATGACAAGTTACAAAGGTATTTACAGATTACAGAGGTACGTAATGGGTCCAGGGACTGGGCCCCCAAAGTTTTGATAGCTGAACTAGGTACAAAGGTAATGAGCTCACAAGTTACAAAGGTAATGAATTCTGTAGAATGGGACGAAAAGATACAAAACATCCAGGCCATGGGAAAACCTGGGTAGCCACAGCCACTCAAGAGGGAGAGGTTTTTTAGTGCCAGGAAGGAAAAAAAACTGGCAGGAAATGGCAGAAATCGCACACCAAATCCAGTCATTCCTGGAGTGGAACCACAGTCGATGGCCTCCACTCCAAACCAACAGATACAGATACTAATGCCGGAAAAAAAAATCCCCCCCAGTACCAACAATACCACCAGTCCGATGACATTCTTCTTTGCAAATATACAGGGTCTAAAGCCAGCAACAAACAACAAAATACCTTTCATCCGTGGACTGCTTGCAGAGGCAAAGGCAATGTTCGCGGCTTTCACTGAGACCCACATAAAGGATCACTTGGACAACAAAATATGGATCCCAGGTTACAACCTATACAGATGTGACAGAGTGAACAGGCAAAAAAAAAAGGGGGGGGGGTTGGCCTGTACATTGCAGAGTCACTTGTTTGCACAGAACTGCTTAATGCCTCAAATGATGTAGTGGAAGTTTTAGCAGTGAAGGTCGAGAACCAAAACCTAGTCATTGTGGTAGTCTACAAGCCTCCGGATGCAACATCCCAGCAATTCCAGGAACAGCTGTTAAAAATTGACCATTGTCTGGAAAATCTTCCAGCTCCTGCACCCAACATCTTGCTCCTGGGGGATTTCAACTTAAGGCACCTAAAATGGAGGAATATAGCAAATAATATTGTTGCAGTAATAACACCAGGAGGCAGCTCTGATGAAAACTCACACTCACACGAGCTTTTAAATCTCTGCACAAAATTCAATTTAAACCAGCAAATAATAGAGCCTACTAGACTGGAGAATACACTAGACCTCATCTTCACTAACAATGATGATCTGATAAGAAATGTCACCATATCAAAAACAATATACTCAGATCACAACATAATTAAGGTTCAGACATGTATGCGTGGAGCCCCGGACCGACATAATGAGATTAGTCACGAGGGTGCATTCACCAAATTCAACTTCAATAACAAAAACAAAGTGGGACCAAGTAAACCAAGTCCAATAACAAAAACAAAGTGGGACCAAGTAAACCAAGTCCTAACCGATATAAGCTGGGAAGATATACTAAGCAACACAGACCCCAACTTATGCCTAGAACAGATTAACTTGGTGGCACTCGATGTATGCACAATGCTTATTCCTCTAAGAAAAAGGAGGAGTAGATGTAAAATAGAAAGAGACAGGCGCTCCCTTTACAGGCGACGGAAAAGAATAACAGAGCGGCTAAAAGAGGTCAATATATCTGAAATGTGTAGGGAGGCACTGGTCAGAGAAATAGCAAGCATCGAACTTAAGCTAAAGGAATCTTATAGGAGTCAGGAATCGCGGGAAGAACTAAAAGCCATAAATGAAATCGAAAGAAACCCAAAGTATTTCTTCTCCTATGCCAAATCAAAGTCGACAACAACGTCCAGTATTGGGCCCCTACTTAAACAAGATGGGTCCTACACAGATGACAGCAAGGAAATGAGTGAGCTATTCAAGTCCCAATATGACTCAGTTTTTAGCAAGCCGCTAACCAGACTGAGAGTCGAATATCAAAATGAATTTTTTGTGGGAGAGCTACAGAATTTGATTAACACAAGCCTATCCGATGTTATCCTGACGCCAAATGACTTCGAACAGGCGATAAATGACATGCCCATGCACTCTGCCCCAGGGCCAGACTCATGGAACTCCGTGTTCATCAAGAACTGCAAGAAGCCCCTATCACAAGCCTTTACCATCCTATGGAGAGGGAGCATGGACACGGGGGTCGTCCCACAGTTACTAAAAACAACAGACATAGCCCCACTCCACAAAGGGGGCAGTAAAGCAACAGCAAAGAACTACAGACCGATAGCACTAACATCCCATATCATAAAAATCTTTGAAAGGGTCCTAAAAAGCAAGATCAACACCCATCTAGAAACCCATCAGTTACACAACCCAGGGCAACATGGGTTTAGAACAGGTCGCTCCTGTCTGTCTCAACTATTGGATCACTACGACAAGGTCCTAGATGCACTAGAAGACAAAAAGAATGCAGATGTAATATATACAGACTTTGCAAAAGCCTTCGACAAGTGTGACCATGGCGTAATAGCGCACAAAATGCGTGCTAAAGGAATAACAGGAAAAGTCGGTCGATGGATCTATAATTTCCTCACTAACAGAACACAGAGAGTAGTAGTCAACAGAGTAAAGTCCGAGGCAGCTACGGTGAAAAGCTCTGTTCCACAAGGCACAGTACTCGCTCCCATCTTGTTCCTCATCCTCATATCTGACATAGACAAGGATGTCAGCCACAGCACCGTGTCTTCCTTTGCAGATGACACCCGAATCTGCATGACAGTGTCTTCCATTGCAGACACTGCAAGGCTCCAGGCGGACATCAACCAAATCTTTCAGTGGGCTGCAGAAAACAATATGAAGTTCAATGATGAGAAATTTCAATTACTCAGATATGGTAAACACGAGGAAATTAAATCTTTATCAGAGTACAAAAACAAATTCTGGCCACAAAATAGAGCGAAACACCAACGTCAAAGACCTGGGAGTGATCATGTCGGAGGATCTCACCTTCAAGGACCATAACATTGTATCAATCGCATCTGCTAGAAAAATGACAGGATGGATAATGAGAACCTTCAAAACTAGGGAGGCCAAGCCCATGATGACACTCTTCAGGTCACTTGTTCTATCTAGGCTGGAATATTGCTGCACACTAACAGCATCTTTCAAGGCAGGTGAAATTGCTGACCTAGAAAATGTACAGAGAACCTTCACGGCGCGCATAACGGAGATAAAACACCTCAATTACTGGGAGCGCTTGAGGTTCCTGAACCTGTACTCCCTGGAACGCAGGCGGGAGAGATACATGATTATATACACCTGGAAAATCCTAGAGGGACTAGTACCAAACTTGCACACGAAAATCACTCACTACGAAAGCAAAAGACTTGGCAGACGATGCACCATCCCCCCAATGAAAAGCAGGGGTGTCACTAGCACGTTAAGAGACCATACAATAAGTGTCAGGGGCCCGAGACTGTTCAACTGCCTCCCAGCATACGTAAGGGGGATTACCAATAGACCCCTGGCAGTCTTCAAGCTGGCACTGGACAAGCACCTAAAGTCGGTTCCTGACCAGCCGGGCTGTGGCTCGTACGTTGGTTTGCGTGCAGCCAGCAGTAACAGCCTGGTTGATCAGGCTCTGATCCACCAGGAGGCCTGGTCACAGACTGGGCCGCGGGGGCGTTGACCCCGGAACTCTCTCCAGGTAATTCTAGAAAATCTATATTTTGGTATTTGATGTAGGACATTTACGGTATTTAATAACGTTGAAAAATGTTCCCAAGTGTGATATACGTGTGTTTATGCCTAGTTTATTGGTATTGGCTAATTAAACTATGTCTTAATTTAATACTTAAACTTATGTGCCTCTGTTAATGAATTATTTTACTGTTTGTATACAAAATAGAATTACTACAGTCTTCATTAGTCTTAATTGTATTAACAAATACTGATCATTTAGTACATAAGTTTTAAATTTTAACCTTCAGTATATTTTTTTTGTTCAGAATGTGCCATGTGGTACTGATGGAGTGACGTGTACCAAGTCTATTACTCTGCGGGTTGGCCACGGGGATGACCAGGAGATGATCGAGTTCTCACGTAGTAAACCAGCACCCAGCAAGTGAGTCAACACTCCTACTACACCTTTATACTACAACCTACAGTTAAGGTTTAAGTGAGCTGTGTAAAATACATTATACAAGTAGACCCCAGACGATCAGTTCCACCTACCTTATAGTTCATCTGCAGCTTTTTCAACAATAATTGTAGTCTTCCTTTTGCTGCTTCTAATTGTGTCTCAAGTGAAAAAAAAACAATTCCAAAGAGCCATATAAATACAATAGTTATGCGTACGAAATGATTACATATTGCATTTGATCGTATTATAATACAGATGGAATTTGATGCGATATAACGTTAGGCAAGGTTTGTCAGGAAACAGGACAAGTGTTTCCTGACTTTGGTCTTAGTCATCTGATGACCCACAGCTAGAGCTTTATATACGGCTCTTAAGAAAGTCACAAATTATGGTATTACAACACAGAGGTCTTGCGTTATGTTAGAGGTGGGCTGTGAGAGCGCGGGTATTAGAAAGGAAGAATAAAACTATGGAAGTAATTTAAAGAAATGTGTGAAAAAATATTTTTCGACTTGGGAAATATTCAAGGAATGTTACAGTATATAATATAGGGCAGTTACCAGCTGTGAATCAACACTCAAGGTATATTACTGAGGAGATGAATGATAATGACATTAGCAAGCAACTTGGAAAATCTAATGCCATTAGATACTTGATCACACAATTTAACTTTTACAGTATAAATATCAAATTAAAGTGTTTTCACATGTTGCTCTTTATTGTATTACATTGAGCCGTCTTGGTCAGTTATTATGTATCGTCTTCGAACAAACTAGTGGTTTGTCACAATTATATAATGATGTGGATTAATCATTTTTACTCTTAATAATGTTAAATGTTTGAATGTAATGAGACATTCAATATATGGGTCATTGCAGTAGGTGACAGCTTTTAGCATTGCCCTGGCTGTCACTTGTCCCGTAGCTCGATTGTCATTGATGTCAGCTAGGCGTGTATACCTTTTACATGTACTTGTAGTAAATATATTATTATTATTATTTTTATTATGATTAGTATTATTATAGGGCACATACTGAGGTTCATGATTCGATCCCGGGACGGGTGGAAACATTATGACGTATTTCTTCAAGACCCCTGCTGTTCCTGTTCACCTATCAGTAAAATGGGTACCTGGGTGTTAGTCGGCTGGTGTGGGTCGCATCCTGAGGACAGAATTGACCTAATTTGTCAGAAATGCTCTGCATAACCAGGGGCTTTCTATATAGTGCAGTAGTATGTCAGCTAGGTTTGTATACATTGTACATGTACTTGAAGAAATAAAGATTATTGTTATACTACGGCAGAGTGAGGCCTCTTGAGTACCTCGCAGAGAGGTTAGTGCACTGGGCTCAAAACTGAGAAGGGCGACAAATGGGTGAACCTCCTGACAGTACTGCCTCTGTTAGTCATATGATGACCCGCGGCTGGAGCTTTTGGTCATCTAACCGAGGCCTTCCCTTTAAAAATTATGGTCAACTAACCGAGGTCCACCCCTTTAAAAATTATGGTTATTATTGTAACCATTCCTTTTTAAATAGCGCATTGCCCCTGTTGCCTAGCAGTAAATAGATACCCGGAAAGATATCTATTTAATGCAAGGCAGTAAATGGATACCCTTTCCTTGGGAAACGACCTAAAGAGCCCCAGTGGAAATAAGTCACCTTGATTGGCTTTATTGAGTTACCCTGGCAACTCTTCTTCCGAAGTTAATAATTCGAATTGATTTTGTTACCAGATTACTTAACTTCAGCTAGTTTACATTGCTGGCTAGGAGTTGTGAGGTGTAGTGTGGACTGGATTGGTTTAGGCTCTTCAGCTGCCACTGTCTCTCGGGAGAGGTATATACCATTTGTGGTTTTTATTTTTGTAAGCATTAACATCATTTATGTACACAGGAACTGACAAGGGCATTCAAGAAAGGACAATGGTGTGATTTGTTTGCTGCTCAGTGTGACACCATTGTATATACAGTATGTACATTGTATATACAGTGAAACTGAAAAACTTTGTTTCTTCCAAAAGCTAGAGGAATGTGCTAGTGGCAGTATAGGCCTCCCACAGTGTACGGAGCAAAAGAACCTGACTCACTATATCTTTATTTCTACGAGTACGTGTACAAGGTATACAGGCCTAGCTGAAAACAATGACATAATACTATATAGAAAGCCACTTGTTATGCAGAGCATTTCGGGCAAATTAGATAAATTGTCCCAGGATGTTACCTACACCAGTCGACTAACACCCAGGTACCCATTTTACTGATGGGTGAACATGGACAGAAGGTGTCTTATGGAAACATGTCCTAATGTTTTCCGTCCGTACCGGGGATCGACCCCTGGACCTCAGTATGTGGAATAATGGTATAAACCTTGGTAATAAATACCGACAAGTTGGTTATTTATTGGTTTAGAAAGACACGTAAGCAAACACTATGACATATTTATTAGAAAACGCTTCGGTCCTGGGACCTTGATCACTTCTAACATACAGGGGCGTTGACCCCCGGAACTCTCTCCAGGTCTCCAGGTAATATATAGGCGGAGAGTGAGGTGTGACGCACGTGACCTGAGGAATGTCATAAGAACATAAGAATGGAGGAACACTGTAGAAGGCCTACTGGCCCATGCGAGGCAGGTCCTTATCAAAACAACCTCTACCTATGATGAGGACGGGTAGACGATGAAATCATGTGACTCCTGTGTTGTTGGGTTGGTGCTGCTTAAGTATCATGTATGCCAATGTTTTTGAAATTTTGTAGTTTCCAGCGTTGCGTTCTATAGTGTCGGTGACGGCGATTAGTGAGGCTTCTAGGCACCGTCGGCGTCTGAGGTCTGGTTCGGTGAGAACGAGTTGTAGATTGAGACACTTATGCAGCATATGGGAATCTTTATTCAGGAAACGTTTCGCCACACAGTGGCTTCATCAGTCCAATACAAAGAGGAAGGCGTAAGGAGAGGAGTATGAGGTAATCAGTCCCTCAGCCTGGAGTCGATGTGTTCAGTCCATCAATCTTGTAGAATGTACAGCATAGGGCCGTAGACGTGGCTTATATACTGTAGTGAGGTGAGGTGAAGCAGGCGGAGGCGGGGTCATAGTGGTACCATCCACTAGTCGAAGTAGGTCTTCGTCTAAACTCTAAAGGTTGAACAAGTGTTGAAGAATTCTTTGTAACAAGATCCCATGATGCTGCAGTGTCTGACAGTTGTGATGAATGGTTTGAAAAAACCGACAAGTTGAAGATTGAGACACTTATGCAGCATATGGGAATCTTTATTCAGGAAACGTTTCGCCACACAGTGGCTTCATCAGTCCAATACAAAGAGGAAGGCGTAAGGAGAGGAGGAGTATGAGGCCCGGTGGCCTGGTGGCTAAAGCTCCCGCTTCACACACGGAGGGCCCGGGTTCGATTCCCGGCGGGTGGAAACATTTCGACACGTTTCTTTACACCTGTTGTCCTGTTCACCTAGCAGCAAATAGGTACCTGGGTGTTAGTCGACTGGTGTGGGTCGCATCCTGGGGGACAAGATTAAGGACCCCAATGGAAATAAGTTAGACAGTCCTCGATGACGCACTGACTTTCTTGGGTTATCCTGGGTGGCTAACCCTCCGGGGTTAAAAATCCGAACGAAATCTTAAATCTCTTAAATCAGCCTGGAGTCGATGTGTTCAGTCCATCAATCTTGTAGAATGTACAGCATAGGGCCGTAGACGTGGCTTATATACTGTAGTGAGGTGAGGTGAAGCAGGCGGAGGCGGGGTCATAGTGGTACCATCCACTAGTCGAAGTAGGTCTTCGTCCAAAGGTTGAACAAGTGTTGAAGAATTCTTTGTAACAAGATCCCATCGACTCCAGGCCGAGGGACTGATTACCTCATACTCCTCCTCTCCTTACGCCTTCCTCTTTGTATTGGACTGATGAAGCCACTGTGTGGCGAAACGTTTCCTGAATAAAGATTCCCATATGCTGCATAAGTGTCTCAATCTTCAACTTGTCGGTTTTTCAAACCATTCATCACAACTGTCAGACACTGCAGCATCATGGGATCTTGTTACACAGAATTCTTCAACACTTGTTCAACCTTTGGACGAAGACCTACTTCAACTAGTGGATGGTACCACTATGACCCCGCCTCCGCCTGCTTCACCTCACCTCACTACAGTATATAAGCCACGTCTACGGGCCTATGCTGTACAGTTCTGACAAGCCTAACCATGCAGCCAGAGAATACGAAAGGATGGATCAATGTGAACAGTAAGACACGCCGTCCCTCCAAGGAGCAGGTAAACCAGCTCAAATCACCTTCCAGATTCAAAGTAAAGGCTTATGGGGAACACAAAACCCACTATGGCGTGGTTACACACCTGGAAACACGGCACAAACTGAGGTTCAAGATATGGTTCAACCTGAGGGGAGAACCAATACTGACTCCTATCAACAGGGAAATGCATATCACCTTGAAGAAAGTCATGGAGACAGACCGCTCCTTCACCCTGGAGGAACTGGATTCTCGGCAGAAGGTCACCAAGGGTGTAGTGATGCGATACCCGCTGATGATGCCCATCGAGGCAGTAGCAGCTCACCCCAGTGTCGTGTCAGCTCAGCGTCTCAAGGCAAAATTGGCAGGCAATGCACCAACCCGGCAGGTCCTCATTCAGCATGTAGGACCGCTGCCATCCCAGCTGGACCTTGGTTCTTGGGCAGGTACGATGTTAGGACCTTCACGGCAGAACCAGTTCGCTGTTTCAAGTGCCAGCGTTACGGACACCTGGATGCACTCTGTCCGAACAGAGTAATCTGCGGTATCTGCAGCCAGCCCCACCCTACCGAGGAATGCATCACCAAGCTGAAGAATGCATCGCCACCCACTCCACGATGCCTGAATTGCAGGCAGAAACACCATGCCTGGAACCCTCGATGCCCTGAGAGGCTCACTAGAATTCGTGAGGCCTGGAAGACACCAACGATGAGACAGCAGGCTACGGCAGAGCATCACCCTCAGCAGACGATGGGTGCAGAGAATCCTGCCATACTGCAGAACTCTCACCAGTCAACCCAACTCAGTGCCCAGGAATTTCCGACCCTTGAAAACTCAACAAGGCGTCATGAACAGGAGCATCCTCCCCCACTACCGCAACGAAGAAACAAAAACATGAGGAACAAGCGGCGCCAACAGGAAACATCTGGGCAACGCAATCAGCAGACGGCACTACACGAGCTCCCACCGGCCTCCTTGCCAGGCACAACCACTATGCAGGCTGTGGCTGCACCTCACCAGCAGATGCCGGGTACACAACCTGGCATACAGCAACAGCCCACGGTGTGCACAGTGACGAAATACAACCCTCAGCAGTCCCCACAGATTACGACAGCCCAGATAATGTCCACTGCTTCGAACCCACCGACAACGCAGGCCCTCAACAGAGAGGATCTCTTAACACTCATCAAGGCATTCACGGATATTATCTGCAACACAATCACCTCCACGGAACAACAGAGCATGTTCCGGCAGATGGTCAGCACACTCCTGAGGGTATGCTTACTGACAGAGCAGGAAGCAGTGGATGCCATGAATCCGCAGATTATCAGAGAGGACAGAGCCCAGTCCCCAGCTCAGGAAACAGCTGAGATGGAGTAACTTCAGTCGCTTATGAGGCAGTTAGTTTAATAGTTTAATATGTTTATTATGCACCCCATACCCATCCAGTGAGGCACACTAGCTGAACTGTCCGGAACTGTGCTTGAAAGAATAGTGAAATTCCAAACGCTTATATGCTGCAACAGTGAAGAATCAATTCTCCTTCAGGAGCCAGAGACGGGTCATCTCAAGATTAAGACCCGTGCCAGGACCCTGGTCCTGGCGAACATCATACATACATACCTATGCTGTACATTCTACAAGATTGATGGACTGAACACATCGACTCCAGGCTGAGGGACTGATTACCTCATACTCCTCCTCTCCTTACGCCTTCCTCTTTGTATTGGACTGATGAAGCCACTGTGTGGCGAAACGTTTCCTGAATAAAGATTCCCATATGCTGCATAAGTGTCTCAATCTTCAACTTGTCGGTTTTTCAAACCATTCATCACAAGAACGAGTTGTGCCTCATGCCTATATATATAATAAATGTCTTTCTACCCCTGTATGTTAGAAGTGATCAAGGTCCCAGGACCGAAACGTTTTCTAATAAATATGTCATAGTGTTTGCTTACGTGTCTTTCTAAACCATGTGGAATAATACACAAACAACCCGCACAGAAGAGAGGAGCTTACGACGACGTTTCGGTCCGGTTTGGACCACACAGTGTGGAGCTGAATGAGCTAGCAATCAAGCTATGGGTATAAATGTTGATAAGAGGTGGAGACACCATTTAATAAGCCTGTTGGCATTTAGAGCTACCCTTAGATATATTTTACGTAATAGCTGGATGTGGAAATTTATTTCTTTGTCTGTCAGAATGAGATTGTCCCAGCCTCCAAAGAACATGGTGGGGGATTTTCGCTCGTATGAGGTGTCTGTAAAATCCTACTTGCCATTCACTGCACACTGCGTTAAAGAAAGGTATTTGTGCAGTGAGAGTTCTATCTCCTTACTCTGCCCACAGACAAAGAATAAAAAGGCACAGTGCCGTGTCTAGAACAATACACAAATAACCCGCACTGAATATATCATTGCTTAGTTAATCTTAGGTTAATTTTAAGCCTGCCCATAATGCTCTGCATACAAGGGGCTTTGGCATGTTACACTTAACCACTGTTTTTCATTGTACTTCAATGTATCATGTTCAAATAAATAAATAAATAGGTGAATGAAACTTATAATGACGTTTCGATCCGACTTGGGCCAATAACTAGTGTGACTAGTTAATGGTTGGACCGAAACATCGTCATAGGTTTCATTATTCTACGTACGGGTTATTTGTGTACTACCCAGAGGAGGATGTCAAAGTTGATCTCATGTATCAGAAATCTTCCCTATGAGGATAGACTGAGGACTCGCAGCAATGGTTTCAAGTTGGAAAAATTCAGATTCAGGAAGGATATAGGAAAGCACTGGTTTGGTAATAGAGTTGTGGATTATTGGAACAAACTCCCGAGTACAGTTATGGAGGCTAAAACGTTGTGTAGTTTTAAAATTAGGTTAGATAATACATGAGTGGGTGTGGGTGGGTGTGAGTTGGACCTGACTAGTTTGTGCTGCTGGGTCTGGTGCCGTGCTCCATCCTTGAGTGGAGGTGACCAGACTGGGTGCGTCATTGGGCTAATCCTGGGGGGGGACATGGACCTGCTCCGCATGGGTCAGTAGGCCTGTTGCAGTGTTCCTTCTTTCTTATGTTCTAATGTCAGAGTCCTCTCTCCCTACTCTGCCCATAGACAAAGAGCGGTGGCCCGTGGCCTGGTGGCAAAAGCTCTCGCTTCACACGGTGTAGTCCGAGTTCGATTCCCGGCGAGGATTGAAACATTGGGTGTTTCCTTACACTGGTTGTCTATGTTCACCCATCAGTATAAAATGGTACCTGGGTGTTAATCGACTGGTGTGGGTCGCATTTTGGGACAAACTCGATCTAATTTGCTCGAAATGCTCTGCATAGCAATCGGCTTTCTATATAGTAGTATGCCATTGATGTCAGCTAGGCCTGTATACTATATGCATGTACATGTACTTGTAGAAATAAAGATATTTAATTTGATTTAATTTAATTTAATTTAATTTAGTTTAATTTAGTTTAATACATAGCAGCATATGTGTAGAGAACCTAGGATAACCCCCCCAAAAAGTCAAAAGTGACATATTTCCATTGGAGTCCTTTACTTATTTCCACATATGCAGAGCACTTCAGGCAAATTAAGTCAATTTTGTCTCAGGATGCAACCTACACGAGTCAACTAACACCCACCCCTCAAGGAAGGTTCCTTGATGTTGGTGAGAGGCTCTTGATCTAGGGAACGATCTGTGCTCCGGTTCCCTGAATTGAGCCTGAATACCTTCCATTCCTCCCCCCCCCCTCCTCACAGGCACTGCATAATCCTACAGGTTTAGCTCTCCCCTTGATAATAATAATAATAATAATAATTAACACCCAGGTACCCATATTACTGATGGGTAGGTGTAAGAAAATGCCCAATGTTTTTACCCTTGCCAGGTATCGAACCTGGACCCCTCAGCGTGTGAAGCGAGAGCTTTGCCTACCAGGCCATGGGCCTGGAGGACAAGATTGAAGGACCACAATGGAAATAAGACAGACATGTCCTCGATGACACACTGACTTTCTTTGGTTATCCTGGCTGGCTAACCCTCCTGGTTAATTATCATCTTTATAATCAAAATGAAGCACTAAACCCATTAGGGTCATACAGCACTGCTCCCTCCTGGTTAAAAATCTGAACAATTTTTTTTTTTATCTTTACTCAATTACCAGGAATAAAACGAAAACAATCATCCGTGAAGCTGGAGTATTTGTGTTTGCTGAAGTGCCAGATATAGGAGTAGTACTTCAGTGGGATCATGGTACCCGTGCCTACCTAAGACTCGACCCTCGATGGAGGGGCAAGGTGAGCTTATGTAATCCTTCACTGGAAGAGTAAGGTGAGCTTGTAATGTAGTGAAGGAGCAAGGTGAGCTTATATAGTAATGTAGTGAAGGAGCAAGGTGAGCTTATATAGTAATGTAGTGAAGGAGCAAGGTGAGCTTATATAGTAATGTAGTGAAGGAGCAAGGTGAACTTATATAGTAATGTAGTGAAGGAGCAAGGTGAACTTATATAGTAATGTAGTGAAGGAGCAAGGTGAACTTATATAGTAATGTAGTGAAAGGCAAGGTGAACTTATATAGTAATGTAGTGAAGGAGCAAGGTGAACTTATATAGTAATGTAGTGAAGGAGCAAGGTGAGCTTATATAGTAATGTAGTGAAGGAGCAAGGTGAGCTTATATAGTAATGTAGTGAAAGAGCAAGGTGAACTTATATAGTAATGTAGTGAAGGAGCAAGGTGAACTTATATAGTAATGTAGTGAAAGAGCAAGGTGAACTTATATAGTAATGTAGTGAAGGAGCAAGGTGAACTTATATAGTAATGTAGTGAAGGAGCAAGGTGAGCTTATATAGTAATGTAGTGAAGGAGCAAGGTGAGCTTATATAGTAATGTAGTGAAGGAGCAAGGTGAACTTATATAGTAATGTAGTGAAGGAGCAAGGTGAACTTATATAGTAATGTAGTGAAGGAGCAAGGTGAACTTATATAGTAATGTAGTGAAGGAGCAAGGTGAGCTTATATAGTAATGTAGTGAAGGAGCAAGGTGAGCTTATATAGTAATGTAGTGAAGGAGCAAGGTGAACTTATATAGTAATGTAGTGAAGGAGCAAGGTGAGCTTATATAGTAATGTAGTGAAGGAGCAAGGTGAGCTTATATAGTAATGTAGTGAAGGAGCAAGGTGAACTTATATAGTAATGTAGTGAAGGAGCAAGGTGAACTTATATAGTAATGTAGTGAAGGAGCAAGGTGAACTTATATAGTAATGTAGTGAAGGAGCAAGGTGAACTTATATAGTAATGTAGTGAAGGAGCAAGGTGAACTTATATAGTAATGTAGTGAAGGAGCAAGGTGAACTTATATAGTAATGTAGTGAAGGAGCAAGGTGAACTTATATAGTAATGTAGTGAAGGAGCAAGGTGAACTTATATAGTAATGTAGTGAAGGAGCAAGGTGAACTTATATAGTAATGTAGTGAAGGAGCAAGGTGAACTTATATAGTAATGTAGTGAAGGAGCAAGGAAGGTGAGCTCATAATTTACTATTGAACAAAGCTTTAACAATACTACATTCATATGACTTAAAAATATTTTTTAATTTGTGATAAAAATGTTGATACTGTTTATCTCATTAAAAGCAAATTCTATTAAGCTCATTAAAACAAATGTTAGTGTATATTATTACAGTAGTACTTTATCATATTAAAAGCAAGTGCTATTAATCTCATTGAAACAAGTGTTATTGCAGTGTTGGTGTATATTATTACAGTATACTTCTGACTACAGCAATTATCTGATCTCATGAAGGTGCATGGTTTGTGTGGTAACTACAATGGAGATGAGCAGGATGACTTTCAGACACCATCAGGAGGCTCCAGTGAAGCTTCAGTTAAAATCTTTGGAGATTCTTGGAGGCTGCAGAATTATTGCCCTGAGAGTATTTTTATTCAGGCAAGTAAAGAATGGCTTGTAGTGATAGCCTATTAAATCTTTTATGTTGTTAATCATCACATCACATAATTTTGCAAATTTCATTAAGACTAGTGTCAACACAGTTATGCATATTACAGCATTTTTAACATAAATTTGGTTCAATTGTTTTTCATCACTATTCCCTTAAAATTTCACTCTTGTGTCTTATTCTTGCATGCTTATCATACTTTGTGCTATCCACATTTTCAATTTTCACGAACTATTTCTCCTCTCCCATTGTATAACCAACTGATGAACTGTGTTATGGAAGATTGGAGTGAGCCTTCCATTCCTTATGCTCAATGACATGTACAAGTTTAACTCTCTATGAAATACAATACTGCACAATGCCCAACTTAGTTGTTCTCAATACATCACTCACCAATTTTATGCAATGCATTTAGTATCATATTTTAAATAATGGTAATACTGTACAGTACTGTATAGGATAATATTCTTTAGGTTGATCCAATAAAATATTGGGCAATATCAATGTCAAATCAAATCATATATGAAGTAAGTAATAATAATACAGTTCCTGTCTTATAATGAACTTTGTCTTAAAATCAATAATTTTCATTTCTGTTTTGGAAATTTAAAAAAAAAAATGAATTGTGTGTGCGTGTGTAGGTGATCATGCATGCCCGTGTACTTTCTCACCTGTTTCTACTCGCGTATTTGTGGTTGCAGGGGTCAGTTTTCAGATCCTGGCCCCAACCTTTAACTTGCACTTGTGGGAATCACTCTCTTGTAACTTTGTACACACTGTTAAAACTATGTATGGAGCCTTGCTCTGCAACTTCCTCATCAAGATCATTCCACTTTCTGACCACTCTGAGACTGAAAGATTTCCTGACTTCCGTGTGACTTATACATATCTTTAACTTCTATCTGTGTCTCTGTGTTTCCATTTCTCACTTCTTAAAGTAGCCTCTTCCTATCAGTTCCTCTATGTATTTTGTATGCTGCTATAATGTGTCCCCTAGGTCTTCTGTCCTTCATTGTTGTTACATTCAGTTCTGTTAGCCTTTCCACATAGCTTATTTCCTGTAGCTCAGAAACAAGTCTCATTACATACTTACATACTTTCTCCAGTTTCTTTACATGCTTTTTCAGGTGTGGGTTTCATACTGGTGCCATCCTTCAAGATAGGTCTAACATATGTTGTATAAAGAGCCCAGAATATCTTTTTATCGAGATTCCTGACAGCTACTTTTAGATTTGCCAGTCCAGCACTGGCTGATGTGAGCCTCTGTTAATATACCAGACACTATGCTCACCTCTAGATCTTTCTGTTTGAGTGAAGTTTGCAGCCTCTTATCATTGCTAGTTTATACCCTCTTTCCAGTCTTCTTGTTCCTCTCCCAATCTTCATAACCTTGCATTTACCAGGGTTAACTTCAAATAACCATTTACCTGGCAACTCTTGCAATATTTCCATATCCATTCAGAGCCTTTCTCTGTCCTCATTTGTTTTTATTCTCTTCATCAGGTTTCCATAATCAGCAAACAGGAATATGTCTGAATCAATCCCATCTAGAATGTAAGTCACATAAACTAGAAACAGTGCTGGCTCTAATACTGATCCTTGCAGACCCTCGCTATGTACTCTTCCCCATTCTGAATTCTTGTCTCTTACAGTATGTTGTTCTCTCTTGTTCTTGCTTAGTCCTCAAACCACAGTACAGTTGGGGGTTAGAACCCATGGCAAGTGAATTGTATACCTCTAAGTGTTTTGGCCCATCTTTGTCCTCTTGTGGGGTATAATGTCCAATGCCTTCTTGCAGTCTTAAGAAAATGCAATCCACCCAACCCTCTCTTCTGTTGCACATCTGTCACTTCATCTTTGAACTCCAATAAATTAGTAAAATAGGAATTGTTATCTCTAAACCCATGCTGGCTACTACTTGTGAAACAACTACTCTTAAGGTGTTCTACTACTCTATGGTAATTTTTCTCCATTACTTTGCATGGTATGCACGTCAAAGAAACTGGTCTGTAGTTGAACAAGGACCTTTCTGTCTCCTTTTTTAAATAGCTTATATACCTGAGAAAAACTTGACTCCATGTATAGGTCGATCCCTGATGTTTTGCCAAAAAATTCTTAATTTTAATATATCTCATGGATAAGTCTTCCCTAATTTTTGGGGGACTTTAAAAGGGGTCAAATGGTTCTGATTCAAAATATATTCCAACCAAAACTTGGGGAAGAAACAAAATGAAAACGTAATGTTTGATAAACAAAAATACATAAAGGCACACTGCAGTAGGCTTACTGGCCCATGCTAGGCAGGTCTTACTCATATCCAACCTTCTCACTTGAGCAGGGCAGGCCATCATGAATTACTGCATATTATCAAATTTATTTCTATATTTAAGGTGGACTATTGCTACTTAGTGTGGCTTATATCTTGATACAGAAAAGAAGCAGGAATCTAGTGTATGATAAGTCCTCAGTACACATACACAAATAACCTCACAAGAGTAGTAGCCAGGAATAGGCAACCTCCAACTTTATACTGAAAAATTTAATCTTAAAATGTCAACCAATACACAAGTATATACAGTGTAGTGACTACACCTGCTGTCTTCCAGATCTACGGCAACTGTCATGTATCCATTAACTTATTATAGAACGTAGGTAGAGGTTCAGACAATGCTTTTCCATCCTCTCATTGGCAACATTTATCAGGTTCCATTGCCTTTGATGTATCCAGATCGATCAAAATATGTATATGTGCATATACATATGTGTGGTTGCAGGGGTCGATTCACAGCTCCTGGTCCCACTTCTTCACTGGTCATTACCAGGTTCACTCTCTCCCTGCTCCATGAGCTTTATTGTACCTCTTATTAAAGCTATGTATGGATCCTGCCTCCACTACATCACTCTCCAGATGGCTCCACTTCCTGACAACTCTGTGAATGAAGAAATACTTCCTAACATCCCTGTAACTCATCTGAGTTTTAAACTTCCTGTTGTGACCCCTTGTTGCTGTGTCCCATCTCTGGATCATTTTGTCCCTATCCACCGTGTCAGTTTCTCTCAGTATTTTATATGTCATTATCATGTCCTTCCCTATCCCTCCTGTTCTCATGTCATCAGGTTGATTTCTCTTAACCTCTCCTTGTAGGACATATCCCTTAGCTCTGGGACTAGTTTTGTTGCAAACCTTTGCACTTTCTCTTAATTTATTGACATGCTTGACCAGATGTGGGCTCCATACTGATGCTGCATACTCCAATATGGGTGTGACATTCATGGTGTACAGTGTCTTGAATGACTTCTTACTCAGGTGTCAAAACACTATTCTTAGGTTTGCCAGGCACCTATATGCTGTAACAGTTATTTGGTTGATTGTGTGTTGCTGGAGATTTGCTTGGTATGATACTCACCCCAAGATCCTTTTCCTTGAGTGAGGTTTGCATCCTTTTGGCCCTGTAGCCTGTACTCTGTCTGCAGTCTTCTTTGACCTTCCCCAATCTTCATGACCTTGCACTTGGTGGAGTTAACTGCCAGGAGACAATTGTTGGCTCATGTGGGTGCATGTGTGTGTACTCACATAGTTGTGGTTGCAGGGGTTGAGTCACAACTCCTATGTGTGTGTGTGGGTTCGTGCATGTGTGTGTGTGTGTGTGTGTGTGGGTTCATGTGGGTTCGTGTGGTTTTGTGTGTGTGTGGGTTCATGTGTGTGTGGGTTCATGTGTGTGTGGGTTCATGTGTGTGTGGGTTCATGTGTGTGTGTGTTCATGTGTGTGTACTCACCTATTTGTGGTTGCAGGGGTCGATTCATAGCTCTTGGCCCTACCTCTTCACTGATTGCCACTGGGTTCTCTCTCTCCCTGCTCCATGAGCCTTATCAAACTTCGTCTTAAAACTGTGTATGGTTCCTGCCTCCACTGGGACTAGTCTTGTTGCAAACCTTTGAACTTTCTCTAATTTCTTGATGTGCTTGACCATATGTGGATTCCAAACTGGTGCTGCATACTCCAGTATGAGCCTGACGTATTTGGTGTACAGAGTCTTGAGCGATTCCTTACTGAGGCATTGGAACGCTATACGTAGGTTTGCCTGATGCCCGTATGCTGCAGCAGTTATCTGATTGATGTGCACCTCAGGAAATGTGCTCATTATTATACTCACCCCAAGATCTTTTTTCTTGAGTGAGGTTTGCAGTCTTTGGCCACCTAGACTATACTCTGTCTGCAGTCTTCTTTGCCCTTCCCCGATCTTCATGACTTTGCATTTGGCAGGGTTAAATTCAAGGAGCAAGCTGCTGGACCAGGCTTGCAGCCTGTCCAGGTCTCTTTGTAGTCCTTCCTGATCCTCAACCAATTTAATTCTCCTCATTAACTTCACATCTTCTGCAAACAATGACACTTCTGAGTCTATCCCTTCCATTTTGTCATTCACATATACCAAAAATAGCACAGGTCCTAGGACGTGTGTGTGTGTGTGTGGGTTCATGTGTGTGTGTGTACTCACCTAATTGTGGTTGCAGGGTCAAGACTCAGCTCCTGGCCCTGCCTCTTCACTGATCACTACTAGGTCCTCTCTCTCTGTGCTTCATGAGAGTGGGTTCGTGTGTGTGTGTGCGTGTGTGTGGGGGGGGGTTCATGTGTGTGTGTGTACTCACCTGATTGTACTTGCCTAATTGTGGTTGCAGGGTCAAGACTTGGCTCCTGGCCCTGCCTCGTCACTGATTGCTACTAGGTCCTCACTCTCTCTGCTTCCTGAGAGTGGGGTTGGTGTGTGTGTGTGTGTGTGTGTGTGTGTGTGTGTGTGTGTGTGTGTGTGTGTGTGTGTGTGTGTGTGTGTGTGTGTGTGTGTGTGTGTGTGTATGTGGGTTCATGTGTGTGTGTGTAGGTTGATGTGTGTGTGTGTGTGGGTTGATGTGTGTGTGTGTGTGTGTGTGTGTGTGTGTGTTTGTGCATGTACTTACCTATCTGTACTCACATGCTCACCTGTACGTGGTTGCAGGGGTCAAGTCACAGCATTGTATTTTACATAAGTAATATTTACATCTACCGTATTTCGTGGCTTATAAGACTTGTTTTGGTTAAATGGCTAAGCATTGGACGTAACTGAAAGAGCTACAGCCCACCCCTCACCCCAAACTTATAGCTCCCATCGCTGACCTTCAGTTTATAGGACGCAGTTTGGTTTTTAAAGACATTTTATGGAAAAAAATTGCTTCTAGTAAGCCACAAAATACGGTATATAGCATAATAGGATAATCATTTCTCTTACATTCATTGTAACTCCTAAATTTATACATATATTTACAATCACCTAAGAGACATTATGTATAAAGTCACTTAAATTGTTATTGCCTTATTAATCTTAAGTTAGTCTTAAGTTAGCCTGAAATTCTCTGCATATTAAGGGGCTTTCTGACTGCACACCTAAATGTCATTCACCTCTGTACAAACATTGTATCATGCTGAAATAAAGTATCTTGTCTTATATCATTGAGAGAAAGGCATAATGTGTGTACACTAACTCTGATTCCATAATGGCATATTTCATGAAAATTACAGTTATAATGTTTCATTATAGTATGGCAGTACTGTATAGTAAGAATTCTTATAAAGTTATCTGAAATTAGTTTTTATACTGGTAGTATAGATTGTATATCATTCTCTAACAATATTTCAGTATATACTATACTTTACTACTCAGAGAGATGGAAGAAAATTGAAGTTTGGCTTGCTTGTTATGCATTACATTTTAAATGTTTTCAAAGCTGAACATTTATTATGGGTAGTATGGGTTTACTGTATTTTACAGGTATAAACATATACATTATTCATTAAGAACTTTTGCATCTAAAATACATATTTAATTTTAGTACATCATTATTATCTTTAAATAAAATTGACTGCTAGAGTAATAATAAGAATGCTTTTGGGAGATTCTAAAGAAAAGTTGCAAAGGTTAGTGGATGAGTTTGGAAGGGTGTGTAAAGGTAGAAAGTTGAAAGTGAACATAGATAAGAGTAAGGTGGCAAGGGTTTCAAATGATTTAGATAAAGAAAAATTGGATATTGCATTGGAGAGAGGGAGTATGGAAGAAGTGAATGTTTTCAGATATTTGGGAGTTGACTTGTCAGTGGATGGGTTTATGAAGGATGAGGTTAACCATGGAATTGATGAAGGAGAAAAGGTGAGTGGTGCATTGAGGTATTTGTGGAGAAAAAGAATGTTATCCATGGAGGCAAAAACGGGAATGTACTAGAGTATAGTGGTACCAACACTCTTTTATGGGTGTGAAGTTTGGGTGGTAAATGCTGCAGCTAGGAGGCAGCTGGAGGCAGTGGAGATGTCGTGTCTAAGGGCAATGTGTGGTGTAAATATTATGCAGAAAATTCAGAGTGTAGAAATTAGGAGGAGGTGTGGAGTTACTAAAAGTATTAGTCAGAGGGCTGGAGAGGAGTTGTTGAGGTGGTTTGGTCATTTAGAGAGAATGGAACCAAGTAGAATGAATCGGAGAGTGTATAAATCTGTAGGGGAAGGAAGGTAGTGTAGGGGTCGTCCTCAAACAGGTTGGAGGGAGGGGGGTAAAGGAGGTTTTGTGGGCGAGGGGCTTGGACTTCCAGCAAGCATGCGTGAGCCTGTTAGAGTGTGAGCAGGGTAATATTTTATGAAGGGATTCAGGGAAACCGGTTAGCCGAACTTGAGTCCTGGAAATGGGAAGTACAATGCCTGCACTTTAAAGGAGGGGTTTGGGACATTGACAGTTTGCAGGGACATGTAAGCTGTTGTATCTGAGTGTCTCTGCAAAGACTGATTATGATGTATGAATAATGGTGAAAGTGTTGAATGATAATGAAAGATTTTTCTATCTTTTTGGGTCACCCAGCCTCAGTGGGAAATGGCCAGCATGTTAAAAAAATAATAATAATAATCTTTATTTCTTCAAGTACATGTACAAGGTATACAGACCTAGCTGACATCACTTTCTACTATATAGAAAGCCCCTTGTTATGCAGTGCATTTCGGGCAGATTTGGTCAATTTTGTCCCTTGGATTCAACCCACACCGATCTTCTAACACCCAGGTACCCGTTTTTGCTGATAGGGGAACATGGATAGCAGGTGCCTTAAGGAAACATATCCTAAGTTTCCAGGCGTACTGCATCAGTAAGATTTTATTACAGATATTACATTTAGCATCTCTTACTCTACAGGACACCTGCAGTCTACATCCTCATAGGAAAGTTTGGGCAACAGAACAATGTGCCATTCTTAAAACAGAAATCTTCTCACCCTGCCACTCTGAAGTGCCTGTCGAGCCCTATGAAGAAAGGTGATTTACTTATAATTCATCTGTAATTATTTGAAGTATTGATTTTTTTCTAAAGTTAAATTACAATGTAGAGTATTTATGGTACTACAGTGGAACCTTGGTTTTCGTATGCCCTGTTTTTTTTAGGATTCGGTTTTCGATGACTTCGTTGAAATTTTTTCCCGGTTTTTGTACATCCTCCGTACCAAATGCGTCCACCTACTAGCGCCCACACAGAGCATCCCACGCATTCTGACTCAGTCTGGCTTTGTTTCTCACTGAATGAGCATTGCCTCGCATGTTTGGATAACATTTTGTAATAATCCATTGTTTTTTGTGCTTGTTTATTGTGTGCGACTGCTAAATAAGCCACCGTGTGTCCTCGAGAAGGATTCTGAAGGGTTTGAAGCTGACCCTAGCAACCCTACGCCTATTGTGGAATCTCTTGTGTCTTTGGGGAAGTTCATTGGGTTAGATGTGAGTGGCCAGGATGTGGAAGAGTTGGTGGACCACCACAGGGAAGAGCTAACTATTGAAGAGCTGTGAGACCTTCAGCTGGAACAGCAACAGATTGCAGCTGAGGAAATTGCTTCAGAGGAGGAGGAAGAGAAAGGGGAGAATGTGCCTTCTTCAGTGATTAAAAACGTGAGTGCAAAGTTTTGTGGAGAAATATCACCCTAACAAAGCTGTTGCAAGCCATGTCTGCAACATGTTCAATGACAATGCCTTGTCCCATTTTAGGCAAATCTTAAAGACGCGCCAGAAACAGACCTCTCTGGACAGATTTTTTGTGCGACAGGGGTCCAGTGACTCAAGCTGGTCCTAGTGCCAGTGAAAGGCAAAGAAGGGAAGTAACCCCAGATAGGGCCTTGATACCCGAAGTCCTTGTGGAGGGGGATTTCCCTTCCAAACAATAACCTCTTCTCCTCCCTCTCCCATCCTTGCTGTCTTCTATACACCAACAAGAGTCTTCAGTAAAGGCAAAATTGAAGTTAAATGTTCATTTATCCATTTCATTAGTCATTTATATTTATTTCTCATTGTTTCTGTATGTAAAACTATAGTTATTCTCTGTAAAATGTATTTTTTGTTGTTTTGGGTGTCTGGAATGGATTAATTGGATTTACATTATTTATTATGGGAAATATTGTTTCAGTTTTCGTACAATTCGGTTTTCATCAGACTTTCTGGAATGAATTAATGATGAAAACCGAGGTTCTACTGTACTTTATTGTCATTTATTTTGTATACTGTACACTATTTTGACTCAGTCGTTTAATATCAGTCTATTAAATTTAAAGCCAAGTAGTACAAGTGTCAGTATCTATGGTAATCATCCTTACATTTTCAATAATAACAATACAGTATAATAGCAGTGGCTTTTTAAAAGATGGCAAGAGAAAAACTTGCAAGTTTTCCACTTTTTTCTTTATCAAACTCAGCATTAACCCCAAACAGAATCCATAAGTAAAGAATCAGTTGTGCTTTCCTGTAATCTTCACTAGCAGTACCAGCAAATAACACCCATTTCAGAGGTGAGGTAACCACAGCAATAAAACTCCATCTTTATAATGTTGGTGAACTACAGTATTCATCACTTGAGTAAATCACTCTCATATTTCCTTTGTAATCCTATGAATAAAACTCTCCTGAGTCCACTGTGGGTGAAAGTAGACAAGAAATAATGATCAAACTCAGTTTATCTAGAAACAACTTACCTGCTAAATACCTAGTTTCGTGATTTTATTACAAACCCCATATCCATTTAACAGGTAGTAGCCAAACTGTTAGAGGAATACATGGTACATGTTAGTAGTCTGTTAGGTACTCTGCCAACACTAAAACAATGGTATTGCCATTGTTTAGAAAAAATCACATGGCAGGTCCAAAGCATATTAAATTTTAGGGAAGATATACCACAATGAAAGATTTACTTTGAGTGATATACAGTATATTTACCTGGGTGTGTTTAAAAAATCAAAATTGTAGCAGTGATGAAGCCTTGCATACTCACTCACGAAATGTACTGAAGAGATTTAAAATTCCAAATAAGTGGACATATTTAATACATACTCAGTGGCAGGCAGCCGGTATGTTGAAAAAAAAAATTAACAACTGAAGCTAAGTACTCCAAATATAGAAATATGTGAATAGCTTAAGTTATCATAGCTAAATTAGGTCTTGGTATCTCCAGTGAATGCAATGCTTGTAGTATGGTACTGTACATCAAATCATAAGGGGTATTTTTAAGCTTTACATTTAGTTGCAAACTCACTGTGGTTTTTATGCACCCTACATTGAAAAACATAAATAATTATTATTGTGAATTTTAACATTATTATTGTATTTGTATTAGGTGTTTGTTTGATACATGTGCATGTGACACTGGCGGGGATTGTCATTGTTTATGTACCGCTCTAGCTGCTTATTCCCACGAGTGCAACATGCATGGTGTGTACATCAAGTGGCGCACACCACTCTTATGCCGTAAGTGGGTCCCAGGCACATTGTATTTATTTTCTTCTGGTGATCTAGTTTCTTTTGATATGTGGAATGTGCATTTTGTAGAGATATTTAGTTTTATATGTAGCACAGTGTGTTTGTTTAATTTTATATTTTGATGTTACACATTTTATCCAGTTTAAAACCTACTTGGATATATTTTTTTTTTTTTCAACAAGTCGGCTGTCTCCCACCGAGGCAGGGTGACCCAAAAAAGAAAGAAAATCCCCAAAAAGAAAATACTTTCATCATCATTCAACACTTTCACCACACTCGCACATTATCACTGTTTTTGCAGAGGTGCTCAGAATACAACAGCTTAGAAGCATATACGTATAAAGATACACAACATATCCCTCCAAACTGCCAATATCCCAAACCCCTCCTTTATAGTGCAGGCATTGTACTTCCCATTTCCAGTACTCAAGTCCGACTATATGAAAATAACCGGTTTCCCTGAATCCCTTCACTAAATATTACCCTGCTCACACTCCAACAGATCGTCAGGTCCCAAGTACCATTCGTCTCCATTCACTCCTATCTAACACGCTCATGCACGCTTGCTGGAAGTCCAAGCCCCTTGCCCACAAAACCTCATTTACCCCCTCTCTCCAACCCTTTCGAGGACGACCTCTACCCCGCCTTCCTTCCCCTATAGATTTATATGCTTTCCATGTCATTCTACTTTGATCCATTCTCTCTAAATGACCAAACCACCTCAACAACCCCTCTTCTGCCCTCTGACTAATACTTTTATTAACTCCACACCTTTTCCTAATTTCCACACTCCGAATTTTCTGCATAATATTTACACCACACATTGCCCTTAAACAGGACATCTCCACTGCCTCCAACCGTCTCCTCGCTGCTGCATTTACCACCCAAGCTTCACACCCATATAAGAGTGTTGGTACTACTATACTTTCATACATTCCCTTCTTTGCCTCCATAGATAACGTTTTTTGACTCCACATATACCTCAAAGCAGTGAAGAGTTTTTACGAGGATAGTGAGGCTCAAGTTAGAGTATGTAGAAAAGAGGGAAATTTTTTCCCAGTAAAAGTAGGCCTTAGACAAGGATGTGTGATGTCACCGTGGTTGTTTAATATATTTATAGATGGGGTTGTAAGAGAAGTAAATGCGAGGGTCTTGGCAAGAGGCGTGGAGTTAAAAGATAAAGAATCACACACAGGGTGGGAGTTGTCACAGCTGCTCTTTGCTGATGACACTGTGCTCTTGGGAGATTCTGAAGAGAAGCTGCAGAGATTGGTGGATGAATTTGGTAGGGTGTGCAAAAGAAGAAAATTAAAGGTGAATACAGGAAAGAGTAAGGTTATGAGGATAACAAAAAGATTAGGTGATGAAAGATTGAATATCAGATTGGAGGGAGAGAGTATGGAGGAGGTGAACGTATTCAGATATTTGGGAGTGGACGTGTCAGCGGATGGGTCTATGAAAGATGAGGTGAATCATAGAATTGATGAGGGAAAAAGAGTGAGTAGTGCACTTAGGAGTCTGTGGAGACAGAGAACTTTGTCCTTGGAGGCAAAGAGGGGAATGTATGAGAGTATAGTTTTACCAACGCTCTTATATGGGTGTGAAGCATGGGTGATGAATGTTGCAGCGAGGAGAAGGCTGGAGGCAGTGGAGATGTCATGTCTGAGGGCAATGTGTGGTGTGAATATAATGCAGAGAATTCGTAGTTTGGAAGTTAGGAGGAGGTGCGGGATTACCAAAACTGTTGTCCAGAGGGCTGAGGAAGGGTTGTTGAGGTGGTTCGGACATGTAGAGAGAATGGAGCGAAACAGAATAACTTCAAGAGTGTATCAGTCTGTAGTGGAAGGAAGGCGGGGTAGGGGTCGGCCTAGGAAGGGTTGGAGGGAGGGGGTAAAGGAGGTTTTGTGTGCGAGGGGCTTGGACTTCCAGCAGGCATGCGTGAGCGTGTTTGATAGGAGTGAATGGAGACAAATGGTTTTTAATACTTGACGTGCTGTTGGAGTGTGAGCAAAGTAACATTTATGAAGGGATTCAGGGAAACCGGCAGGCCGGACTTGAGTCCTGGAGATGGGAAGTACAGTGCCTGCACTCTGAAGGAGGGGTGTTAATGTTGCAGTTTAAAAACTGTAGTGTAAAGCACCCTTCTGGCAAGACAGTGATGGAGTGAATGATGGTGAAAGTTTTTCTTTTTCGGGCCACCCTGCCTTGGTGGGAATCGGCCAGTGTGATAATAATAATAATAATAATAATAATAATAATATACCTCAACGCACCACTCACCTTTTTTCCTCATCAATTCTATGATTAACCTCATCCTTCATAAATCCATCCGCCGACACGTCAACTCCCAAGTATCTGAAAACATTCACTTCTTCCATACTCCTCCTCCCCAATTTGATATCCAATTTTTCTTTATCTAAATCATTTGACACCCTCATCACCTTACTCTTTTCTATGTTCACTTTCAACTTTCTACCTTTACACACATTCCCAAACTCATCCACTAACCTTTGCAATTTTTCTTTAGAATCTCCCATAAGCACAGTATCATCAGCAAAAAGTAACTGTGTCAATTCCCATTTTGAATTTGATTCCCCAAAATTTAATCCCACCCCTCTCCCGAACACCCTAGCATTTACTTCCTTTACAACCCCACCTATAAATATATTAAACAACCATGGTGACATTACACATCCCTGTCTAAGACCTACTTTTACCGGGAAGTAGTCTCCCTCTCTTCTACACACCCTAACCTGAGCCTCACTATCCTCATAAAAACTCTTTACAGCATTTAATAACTTACCACCTATTCCATATACTTGCAACATCTGCCACATTGCTCCTCTATCCACTCTATCATATGCCTTTTCTAAATCCATAAATGCAATAAAAACTTCCCTACCTTTATCTAAATACTGTTCACATATATGCTTTAATGTAAACACTTGATCTACACATCCCCTACCCACTCTGAAACCTCCTTGCTCATCCGCAATCCTACATTCTGTCTTACCTCTAATTCTTTCAATTATAACCCTACCATATACTTTTCCTGGTATACTCGGTAAACTTATTCCTCTATAATTTTTGCAGTCTCTTTTGTCCCCTTTCCCTTTATATAAAGGGACTATACATGCTCTCCGCCAATCCCTAGGTACCTTCCCCTCTTTCATATATTTGTTAAACAAAAGTACCAACCACTCCAACACTATATCCCCCCCTGCTTTTAACATTTCTGTCATGATCCCATCAGTTCCAGCTGCTTTACCCCCTTTCATTTTACGTAATGTAATGGATATGTACTTACAATAGTAATTGGTGCTTGCGATACACTGGTTGAATAATTAATACTTCTGATAAATCAGTCAACTAATTAGTAGTATTAATGATTTAGCAGTTTTTTGTTGCATATGAGCTGCTATGGCTGAAGATTGAAGGTGTATATTACACTGGGTAAATATTTGTGTGTGGCCTTACAGCGATGCAGTGTGACGAGGAATGTGAACACTATGACGCCTGCCTTCCCACCTGTCCTCAAGAGACCTGTGAAACTCTGCTTGATCCCAGCTCCTCCATGTGTGTTCAGGATGCCTGTGTTGAAGGTGCAGTAACTCATTCTTCACTGTTATGATAACTAGAAGACCTCTGAATTTTGTTTCTATAAATACATGTATTTTTAATACATAAGCCATTTCCCACTGAGGGGAAACATTTTTTTTTTTAACAAGTTGGCCGTCTCCCACCGAGGCAGGGTGACCCAAAAAGAAAGAAAGAAAATCCCCAAAAAGAAAATACTTTCATCATCATTCAACACTTTCACCTCACTCATTCATAATCACTGTTTTTGCAGAGGTGCCCAGAACACAACAGTTGAGAAGCATATACGTATAAAGATACACAACATATCCCTCCAAACTGCCAATATCCCAAGTCCCTCCTTTAAAGTGCAGGCATTGTACTTCATCATCACTAATTCTTTCAACATCCCAACTCATTCTTCACCATGCTTGAACATCTTGAATCTTTAAACTAACTACTGTATTTTCTTTGAATGACTCATAAAAAAAATAATTTATTTTATTTTATTTTATGCTTTCCACCTACACAACTCAAGATGCTCTGCATAACCATGGACTTTTTTCATGCACAACCAAATGTCACCCATCACTGTATGAACATTTTATCATGTGGAAATAAATATTTGACTGTGACTTTGACATTTTAAGGTTGACAACTGAAGTGAAAAGATAATGTAGTGGTACATTGTTTAGCAAAAATGCTTTGTATGTAAGGAAACCTCAATATGGTACATTAAATTTTACTTCAGTACTCTCTGATATATTCTTATGCTTAATTTCAGGTTGTTCTAAAGATGGTTGTCCTCCAGGTCAAGTGTACAAGAGTCTCACGGAATTACAGTGTGTTCCAAAGGCAGACTGTGTAAAGAAGTGTATGGAAATTAATGGAACACTGTATATGGAAGGTGACATCATTTCCAAAGATGACTGCCAGACATGGTGAGTCTTCAGAAATGGGACAATATTTTGAAAATTTAATTCCATTCTTGCATTTCCTATGTACTATAATAAGACAAGTCTAAAATAATACAGTAGAAAAGTGCTGAGTGTTTCTGGATCATGCAATGCATTCAAAGAATATACAGTGGTACCTCGAGTTTCGTACAGCTCTCAACTCAAACAATTATATAAGTGTATTATTGTAAGTGCTTTTGTAAGTGTATTTTTGGGGGCCTGAAACAGGCTATTCTAATTTACGTTATTCCTTGTGGGAACAAATTTGTTCAGTAATGGCACTTGAACAGCCTTCTGGAACAAATTATGGCCAAAACTCAGGGTACCACTGTATTAATATTGGCCAATAGGGTTATGATCCAGTTACTATGAGCTGTTGACCCTAACATTCCTTCAGGATACATTTGCTATATCTGTTAATGGTTCCAGAATCATTTTCTTGGAGCTGGATCTCGGAGCAGGTGTCAAGAAGCACATACGAAAGTAGCAATAAATACATACTAAATGTAAGTAGTAATAATATAAATAATAAGATTAAGAATAATAGATAAAATCAACTTGGGATTTTATAATTCTTGAGCTGTTGGTTTGAGAAATTCACAAAAACTGAAACCATACATATAACAGCTAGGAGTTGAGTACCTCAAGTTTATATTCAGAATGAGCATCCTTATCAGGATCATAAACTATAGACAAGAGATGTACTTTCAACAGATTTAAAAGCAAGACCAGATCCCTGACTCTTCACAAACACTGGTAACTTGTTATACAGTCTGAGAGCTTCACAAGAAAAAATTTTCTACAAATTATTACTTCTTGACAGCACAAGGCTGTCAGTCTGAAAGGGTTTGCAGCAATTCATAGAAACATTCCTGAGACTTATATGAAAGGTGTGAGTATATCAGCAAGATACTTATGTTATTTAATCTTAATGGTTTTAAATGTTAATAAACAGAGTTTAAATTCAGTTCTTACCTTGAAAAGGAGCCAGTGCAGCTGATACATGTAGGGACTAGAAGGAACTTGAGGCGAGAGTGAAAATACCAGTCTTGCTGTATGATTCAGTACAGACTGAAGTCTTTAAAGTAACTAATTAGGCAAACCCACAAACAAACAGTTACAAAAATCAGTTTGAGAGGATCAACCACATGAATAAGAACCAGAATACTCTGCATATCAAGATGCTTTTTAATTGCATAGAGATTACTAATGTGAAAACCTCTAGATTTAACTATCTGGATGTTTGCCAAACAAATGACACTGAAGAATCCATGCTGACACCCAGATTCTTCACTAATCCTTCAGGCTGCAAACTAACAGTACCACAGTCAAAGGGACAAAACTCTCCAGTTTGTAAGCTTACAAGATTTGTCTGCCATCTTACATGTGCACAGACAGACAGAAAAGATCAGTCATGCCAGAGTACAATATGTTTTGAGATCTATACACTTACTTGCTTCCTTTCTGACCTTCGTACTGTTTTCACAACTCAAAGCAATTTTTTTAAATGTTTGTGAATGTACAGTGGACCCCCATGAATTTGCGGTTCCAAATTTGTGGCTTCAGTAATATGCGGATTTTTCCTTAGAACTTAACTAATAATTGTTCATGGAAATCCCCGCAAATTCGCGGAATTTTGGGGGGCCTTTTTTCGTGGCAATATGTAATTTTTTATGCATTTTAACGCTAAATATTAAGAAAAATATAATTTCATAATTTTGTAACATAAATATTAACCTAACTTCATAAAAATTTCCATATAAAATATAATTAAATTATTACCGTATATTTACCATACATTTTTTTTTTTCAACAAACCGGCCGTATCCTACCAAGGCAGGGTGGCCGCTCAAAAAAAATGAAAGTTTCTCTTTTTAAATTTACTAATTTATACAGGAGAAGGGGTTACTAGGCCCTTGCTCCCGGCATATTTACCGTACATATAAAAAGGAAATAGGGTTGTATGAATTACAGTATACCAAAGAAAATGGGCTTGCATGAATTACAGTACATATGGGGGTAACATTGGTATTTTACATTCTAGCACTGCGGGAGACATAGCAGTACAGTACTGTGTATGGGTTTATCTTTACGTTCTTTTTTTTTTTTAAGGGTGATGTATGAAACTGAGTTTGAAATTAAATTAAAGTGTTTTGGGGGCATATTTGAGTTTAAACTATAAAAATAGGCATTTTTTAGCTGTGTCCAGAATTCGCTTTTTTTTCTAAATTCGCGGGTGATCTTGGAACATAACCCCTGCTAATTTGGGGGGACTACTGTACTATAATTTTCCCGAAATGCTCCGGCATGATAGTAGCTTTCTTTGTACTTAGCAAATCAAAATTGTAATTACACATTGTGAACTATGCAAAGAAATAATACAATAAATCTTTAATCCTTAATCAAATGTGAAACCATGTGAATACTTAAAATATTATCATTTTTATGTATTAACTGTAAATTCATTGCTGATGCCTCAGATAATTAACAAGTATTCTTTTAACCCTTTCAGGTTCCAGACCTCTGATCTGAAAATTGCTCTCAGGGTCCAGGATTTTCAAAAAAAAAAAAAAAAAAAAAAGAATCTTATGAAATGATAGAGAATTTTTTTCTGAAAGTAATAACACAAAATATATGAAATTTGCTGGAGAACTTATGGAATTACACTTTCACAGATTTTGCAATCTGAGCAATATTTATGCATCGGCAATTTCGCCCACTTTGAGTCCTATTTTAGGCCAATTCTATTGTTCCAGTTAACTAAACTTGTAGCTATTTCGCTAGTGTGTCTTCCATTCTATCAGTTGAGTACAAGAAACAGCCCATCTAACTATTTCAGCTACCCAATAAATTGATCAGAAATTGGTCAATTTCAGACAAAATTCAGAAATTGCCAATTCAAAAATAGGGTCCAGAATAAACAATGTATACATTTCTAGCACTGAAACAACATTTCCTTTGTTCATCATTTATGTCCCCAGGTCTCTTGTATATTGCACTTGCTTTCCATTTTGAATTTTTTTTTTTTTTTTTTTTTTTTTTTTTTAACAAGTTGGCCGTCTCCCACTGAGGCAGGGTGACCCAAAAAGAAAGAAAATCCCCAAAAAGAAAATATTTTCATCATCATTCAACACTTTCACCTCACTCACACATAATCACTGTTTTTGCAGAGGTGCTCAGAACACAGCAGTTTAGAAGCATATACGTACGTATAAAGATACACAACATATCCCTCCAAACTGCTAATATCCCGAACCCCTCCCTTAGAGTGCAGGCATTGTATTCTCACAAAAAATAGAAGATTTACTGTTATGCAGACTATTGCATGATTGTAGCAGAGAATTCGTAGTTTGGAAGTTAGGAGGAGGTGCGGGATTACCAAAACTGTTGTCCAGAGGGCTGAGGAAAGGTTGTTGAGGTGGTTCGGACATGTAGAGAGAATGGAGCAAAACAGAGTGACTTCAAGAGTGTATCAGTCTGTAGTGGAAGGAAGGTGGGGTAGGGGTCGGCCTAGGAAAGGTTGGAGGGAGGGGGTAAAGGAAGTTTTGTGTGCGAGGGGCTTGGACTTCCAGCAGGCATGCGTGAGTGTGTTTGATAGGAGTGAATGGAGACAAATGGTTTTTAATACTTGACGTGCTGTTGGAGTGTGAGCAAAGTAACATTTATGAAGGGGTTCAGGGAAACCGGCAGGCCGGACTTGAGTCCTGGAGATGGGAAGTACAGTGCCTGCACTCTGAAGGAGGGGTGTTAATGTTGCAGTTTAAAAACTGTAGTGTAAAGCACCCTTCTGGCAAGACAGTGATGGAGTGAATGATGGTGAAAGTTTTTCTTTTTTGGGCCACCCTGCCTTGGTGGGAATCGGCCGGTGTGATAATAAAAAAAAAAAATTGTATAAATAATGTCAGTGCATTCATGAACGTGTACAGTGGACCCCGCCTTACGATCAGCTCCCAACTTGAGCAATTATGTAAGTGTATTTTTGTAAGTGCTTTTGTACGTGTATTTTTGGGGGTCTGAAACGGACTAATCTAATTTACAATATTCCTTATGGGAACAAATTCGTTCGGTAATGGCACCCGAACAGACTTCTGGAATGAATTAATATCGTAAGTTGGGGGTGCACTGTATTAGACTGACCAGTTGGACATGCATTAGATGAGTGATGTAATTTGTGTACTTTGGAATATTGACAAAAATCGAATAATTCTGCTACTTTGAACTCAGATTCATCTCTGTTTCTGTAATAAATCATCCAGTCTGTCAAATGAGACCAAGAAGCCAAGAATACGACCGTAAAACTCATACTAAAATGCATCACAAATTTGCTGTTTTAATTAAACCAAATACGCGATCACAGATTTTTCCTATCATTCATTGCATGGGGCTGGATTTTTTTTATATGGTGCACACTCACCTCAGAGACCCATTCTCTCATATCTAGGCTCACAGCTTATCTGAGCTCATCACGTAGTACTACAGCACAGACCCTGAGCTCTAACCTGTAATACTACGGCATAGACCTCGAAATGGTTAATACTGTCGTATTTTTTGTACTAATAATTATTTACATTAATTTTTTTTTTTTTTAACAAGTTGGCCGTCTCCGACTGAGGCAGGGTGACCCAAAAAGAAGGAAAATCCCCAAAAAGAAAATACTTTCTTCATCATTCAACACTTTCACCTCACTCAAACATCATCACTGTTTTTGCAGAGATGCTCAGAATACAACAGTTCAGAAGCATATACGTATAAAGATACACAACATATCCCTCCAAACTGCCAATATCCCAAACCCCTCCTTTAACCCTTTGACTGTCGCAAGCCCCTTTCTGAAACTGTCATTCTATGTCGCAAAAGTTTTGGAAAAAAAAAAATAATTTTTTCTTATCAAATGATAGAGAATCTTTTCCCGATAGTAATGACACCAAAAGTACGAAATTTGGTCGAAAAGTCACGGAATTATGCTCCCGCGAAGTTAGCAGTCTCGGCAACATATACGCAGCGGCAATTTCACTGACTTTGAGCCCTGTTTTTGGCCAATTCTGTTGTTCCAGTTGACCAAACTCATAGCTACTTCTTTAGAACTCCATTTTTTCTATCAGTTGAGTACAAGAAACCGCCCATTTACTGATTTGAACTATCCAAAAAGTGGTCAGAATTTGGCAATTTGGCCAATTTCACGCAAATTAAAAAAGATGCCAGTTTCAAAATAGGGTCCAGAATAAATAATGTAGACATTCTTGGCACTAAAATAACATATCCTCTGTTCATTAGTCACATCTCTAGGCCCCTCTTATATTACTACTGCTTTCTATTTTGTTTTTTATTCATACAAAAAAATACAAAATTTACTGTTATGCAGACTAATGCATTATTGTAAAAATGGTATGAATAATATCAGTGCACTAGTGAAAAAATAGTAGACTCCCCAGTTGATGTGTATTGGACGTGTGGTGTAATTTGCTTACTCCTGAACTTTGGTAAAAATCGAACATTTCTGCTACTTTGAGCTCAATTTCAAGTTCGTTTTCATTGTGAAAGTAATGAAAATCATCTCTATTTCTGTAATATGTTTTCCATTTTATCACCTGAGACCATGAAAACAAGAATACAACGATAAATACTATACGAAAATACAGGTCTCCCTCAACATTCGCGTTGTCAATTTTCACGGGCTTCACACATTCGCGAATTCCCAAATGTCAGATTCCCAAATGCCAAATTCCCAACCACCAAATTCCAAGCTGCCACATCATATTTAAGTTTCCCGCCACCCGCGAGTCCCTACTACCCTCCCTCTGACCCCAGCAACTGGCAGCCCTCCCACCACTGTGTGGTGTTTTGTTTGTTCATTATTTGCTATTAAACTACAGTATAAATAATGTAAACCCATTCATGACTGCATATTGGAATGGCTATTCGGACAGGTATTGGACGGTGACATCATGTGTTTATTCTTGAACAGGCAGTGGTAGAGGCAGTGGTTGAGGCAGTGGTTGAGGCATTGGGTGAGGCAGTGGTGGAGACAGTGGTAGAGGCAGTGGTTGATGCAGTGGTTGAGGCAGTGGTAGAGGCAGTGGTAGAGGCAGTGGTTGAGACAGTGGTTGAGGCAGTGGTGGAGGCAGTGGTGGAGGGAGTGGTAGAGGCAGTGGTTGAGGCAGTGGTTGAGGCAGTGGTTGAGGCAGTGGTTGAGGCAGTGGTTGAGGCAATGGTAGAGACAGTGGTTGAGGCAGTGGTTGAGGCAGTGGTTGAGGCAGTGGTTGAGGCAGTGGTTGAGGCAGTGGTAGAGGCAGTGGTAGAGGCAGTGGTAGAGGCAGTGGTAGAGGCAGCAGTGGAGGCAGTGGTTGAGGCAGTGGTGGAGGCAGTGGTGGAGGCAGTGGTGGAGGCAGTGGTGGAGGCAGTGGTGGAGGCAGTGGTGGAGGCATTGGTGGAGGCATTGGTGGATGCAGTGGTGGAGGCAGTGGTTGAGGCAGTGGTTGAGGCAGTGGTGGAGGCAGTGGTATTTAATAACATACATGTTATTAAACCATGAAATGTATGTATTTAGTACAATATTTTATGACATTTTCATGTATTTTATGATTGTTCATGGTTCAACAAGTTAAGGAAGCAGCATTGTATTATATTTCCCTACAATATGTTGAGGCACCAAACATTCCCGATTTTTCAACATTCGTGAGGCTATTGATCCCCCAACCCTCGCGAATGTTGAGGGAGACCTGTACACCTCAAAGTCGGCATTTTAATCCAAAAAAACGGTCATTTTTTTTTCTCATTATGCACTGCATGCTGCAGGATTTTTTTTATGTGGTGCACACTGACCACACAGACCCATTCTCTCACATGTGGGCCTATCAGCTTTCTCCTGCTTGACTTGAAGCCGCTAGAATTTACATGTTTAAATACGTCAGAAACAGTGGCACGTAAGACGTACATGTATATATACGACGTAAACAGTCAAGAGGGTTAAAGTGTAGGCATTGTACTTCCCATTTCCAGGACTCAAGTCCGGCTATATAAAAATAACCGGTTTCCCTGAATTTTTTTTTTTCAACAAACCGGCCATATCCCACCAAGGCACTAAATATTACCCTGCTCACACTCCAACAGCTTAAATCTTTCCAGGTTTGCTAATGCTGCCTTGTTGTTTTGTTTCTAATACATCTGGGTGAGTTGAGACATGCATACCATTTATTATCTGGTGAGATTGGTGCTGTATGAGACCAATATTAATGCAGGGAAATAAAATTGCACAACATGTACATCCTTCTCTGTTATTTCTCCTCCTGTTAAACCAGTTTATAACTTTTCTGTGGAGGGTTCTATGAACCATAGTACAGTGGTACTCCGAGTTACGAACAGTTCCCAACTCGAACAATTATGTAAGTGTATTTTTGTAAGTGTATTTTTGGGAGTCTGAAACAGACTAATCTAATTTACATTATTCCTTATGGGAGCAAATTTGTTTGGTAACAGCACTCGAACAGCCTTCTGGAACGAATTAAGTTCGTAACTTGGGATACCACTGAACTTGCTTCCTACCCATGTTAGTATAAATAAGCTTTATATTTCAGTTACTGTTCGCGTAAAAGCAAAATTTGTCGTGGGAAGTCTTGTGCGGAAATACAGGCTGCCACCACTACAACTGAGGCTGTTACTATAGTACCAAACTGTAGAAATGGTTGGTCAGTGTGGTTCAGTGAAAATAAGCCTGTCATCTTTAGGCAGAATTCAGACACAGAGAGGGTGCCTGACAAAATTACACAGGTTAGTACAGTTTTAATCTGGTATTAAAAGTATATTGGGCTAATTTAAACTTTATTACATGTTAAATGTGTTAATTTTCCAAAAGAATTCTGCATTAAAATGCTTTTGACAGTTGTTTTTTGAAGTAGAGTGAAACCTCCATACAGTGGACTAATAGCAGGAAGATGTCTAATTTAACAAAAATCCATTGTATAGAAATGGTCAGTGCGGCAGACTACATCCATTGCATCTATGTACATACTACTGGACATGGATGTACACTCAGTGCGTGAGACTCAGTGTGTTTCATTGATGCACTACTAGATGACACCTGAATTTGTATGACAGTGTCATCCATCAAAGACACTGTAAATCTCCAAGCAAACATCAACTAAATCTTTAAATGGGCCACATAAAACAATATGAAGTTTATTTAAGACAAATTTCATTTACTCTAATAGGGAAAACTCGAGGAAATTAAAACTGTATCAGAGTATAAAACAAATTCCAACACACAGTAAAGAGAAACTAATGTGAAGGACCTGGAAGTGATAATGTCAGAGGATCCCACTGTCAGAAATCACAATAATGTATTTACCACATCTGCTAGAAAATTATAGGATGGATAATGAGAACCTTCAAAACTAGAGATATCCAGCCCATGAGGATTCTCTTCAGATTGCTTGTTCTCTCTAGGCTGGAATATTGCTGTGCACTAATGGCCCCTTTCAAGGCAGGCAACTTGCCAATCTTGTGAATATACAGAGAACTTTCAGTGCACGTGTAAGTACAATAAAGCACCTAAATTATTAGGAATGGTTGAAGTTCATTGTTTTATTTGTATTCCCTGAATGCAGGCAAAAAAATTACATGATAATATACACTTGGAAAATCCTAGAGAGACTGGTCCTAAATCTGCACACAAAAATCACTCTCTATGAAAGGAAAAGACTTGGCAGGTGGTGCAACATATCTCCAGTGAAAAGCAGGGGTGCCATGAGTATGCTAAGAGACCACACAATAAGTGTCAAGGGCCCAAGACTGTTTAACTGCCTCCCAGCATACATAAGGGGAATTACCAATAGACCCTTAGCTGCCTTCAAGAAGAGGTTGGACTGGCACCTAAAGTCAGTACCTGACCAGCTGGGTTCTGGTTTGTACGTCGGTTTATCTGTGGCCAACAGTAACAGCTTGGTTGATCAGGATCTGATCTGTGAGGCTTGGTCACAGACTAGGCTGTGAGGTCATTGACTCCTGAAGTCCCTCTCCAAGTATACTCCAGAACAAGGTAGGTTATATATATTGTGCTGTATTAATTTTTACTTAGTACAATATTAAAAAGTAATTTGGCATGTTTGTAGATGTTTGCAATATAACCTTATTTTTCCCTTTTGTTTATCATGTAATGCTGTTTTACAGTATGTGCCAGTTTTCATAAATGTAACCCATGTGTTATAAGAGGGATTACTGTATCTCTTAAGTCATTTTGTAAACAATCACATATGTAGGTTACAGTCAGTGTACCTAAAAAACAGTGCCAATAGAAGAATAAGTATGAAAACTTATTTTTCAGAGCAAGTCAAACACAGGTTTCTGCAGCCGTAACCAAATTGTTGACATCACGTGTAGGAGTGTTGGGACCCACCTTCCCTACACGGCCCAGCAAGGCGTAACATGTGATCTGGAAGAGGGGCTTCTCTGTAAGGGCACAGTCGATGCAACTGGTGCAGATGCATGTTGGGACTATGAAGTTCAATTTCTCTGTGACTGTAGTAAGTACTGTTTCATTGTTTTTTGGGTGATGATGTTAAAGACAGAGTTGGTGTGGTTCACAAAAGTTTCTCAACAATAAGGTATTATTATTGTTATATATATAGGAAAGCACTAAACCCATATAGGTCATTCAGCACCTGGGGAATGGGAGTGTTGATTAAGTACAGTTCCCTAGATCAAGAGCTCTTTACCAGCATCAGGTATATCCTTTGAAGGACTGCAAAAAGCTGCTTTAATCATTTTTAGGATTTTAGAAGAAAAACTGTGTTTCCCTACCACTCAGACTGTCACATATTTATAGAAAATGATTATGTATATAGAAAATAATTGAAGAGCTCAAAACATTTTGTAAAGTAAATTTCTTCATCTTGCCACAAAAAGTGATTATAAACATAGGTTTTTTGTCAGTTAGTATGCAAATTTCTGGAAAGGCAAAAAAGAGGCATTACCTATATTTATAGAGTACTGTTTAAATACAGTACCTTAAATCCTTGTATTCCTAGTTACTTAATCAATTTTTTTTACCACATACATTATAAGTTTCATCATTTTTGCAAATATATACAAGTTTTGTTCATTATGTACACCATCTTGAAGGTTTTTCATGGAACATTGTCCAAACATCACAAATGAATAGTAAATTTACAAACACTTTGCAGGATGCCAGAATTGGGGTTTGAATTCTTATGATAATTGAATCAGGGTATTTCAGAATCTTTAGTGATGGCTTTATCCATCATGTGGTAATTGAAACCCAAGAATAGAAGGAAGTTGAAAATGAATATAGAAAAGAGCTTAGTGATGGGAGAAAGGAAATTAAAAATGATTGTCAGATTTTAGGGAAAGTAAGGAGAAAGAAAGGAGGAAGAAAGCTGAAAGTGAACATAGATAAGAGTAAGGTGATAAGGGTATCAAGCAATTTAGATAAGATGAAAAATTGGATATTAGATTGGAGGGAGAGAGTATGGAAGAAGTAGACTTGTTGGCAGATGGGTTTATGAAGAACGAGATAAACCATAGAATTGATGCAGTACTGTGCAGTTTTATTGCTTTGCAAAGTCTTTTCTTCCCAGTGATTTATATACAGCATTATTACATTCATCTTTTTTATGTGGCTCAAAAAGGCAGTTTGGAAAATGCAGTATAATTTTTTGTTACAGGTCGCTCAGTTGTGAGCACATCTACCTCAGTTCCTGTCACTTCACCCTTCCCTTGGAGTTCCACGTGAGTCTTTGCAGATTTGTTCTGTGTGAATTCGTTTATTCCTACAAATTCACTATACAGTACTCTTAGTGAATTTTAGATATTCAACCTTTATATTGAATGGTCTCAGTAAAATGTTTTTTGAATGTTCATATTTTATATCTGTCCATTTTCTGTTGACTTGTTGCATGACACCTGAATTGAGAATCAGTATTAAAATTTGTTGAAAATGTGCCACAATTAGTTATCTTAAAGTTTGTTCAAATATTTTTTGTATCTTTTGTAATCTTACACAGTTATCAAATAATTAACTTTGGATGATAATGTTGAGTGTCAGTTGAAGAGCAAAACACATTTTTTGTATTTGAAACTCAAAACAAAACTTTAAGTTTATGTATCAGTTGTAAAATACACTAAAACAGGATATTACCACAGCACATCAAAACCCATGGTCTGTGAAGAGGAAGGTTGGACTCCATGGTACAATGTTCACTTCCCAGATGACCAAGGAGAATTAGAGACTTTGCTAGAGATCCGCAAGGTATTTGTTTAATTTTAATTTCAAAATATTTTTTTTTTATGTAGTTTTCCCCTGGTGAGGGGCTCTTGATCTAGGGAATTGGATCTGTACTCCAGATCCAATGACTTCCATCCCCTCCCCCCACAGGTGCTGTATAATCCTATGGGACGGTAGTACCTCCCTGGGTGGCTGCAAAGAAAATATTATTTTTTTTTTTTTTTCAACAAGTCGGCCGTCTCCCACCGAGGCAGGGTGACCCAAAAAAGAAAGAAAATCCCCAAAAAGAAAATACTTTCATCATCATTCAACACTTTCACCACACTCACACATTATCACTGCTTTTGCAGAGGTGCTCAGAATACAACAGCTTAGAAGCATATACGTATAAAGATACACAACATATCCCTCCAAACTGCCAATATCCCAAACCCCTCCTTTAAAGTGCAGGCATTGTACTTCTCATTTCCAGGACTCAAGTCCGACTATATGAACATAACCGGTTTCCATGAATCCCTTCACTAAATATTACCCTGCTCACACTCCAACAGATCGTCAGGTCCCAAGTATCATTCGCCTCCATTCACTCCTATCTAACACGCTCATGCACGCTTGCTGGAAGTCCAAGCCCCTAGCCCACAAAACCTCCTTTACCCCCTCTTTCCAACCCTTTCGAGGACGACCCCTACCCCTCCTTCCTTGCCCTATAGATTTATATGCTTTCCATGTCATTCTACTTTGATCCATTCTCTCTAAATGACCAAACCACCTCAAACAACCCCTCTTCTGCCCTCTAACTAATGCTTTTATTAACTCCACACCTTCTCCTAATTTCCACACTCCGAATTTTCTGCATAATATTTACACCACACATTGCCCTTAGACAGGACATCTCCACTGCCTCCAACCGTCTCCTCGCTGCTGCATTTACCACCCAAGCTTCACATCCATATAAGAGTGTTGGTACTGCTATACTTTCATACATTCCCTTCTTTGCCTCCATAGATAATGTTTTTTGACTCCACATATACCTCAACGCACCACTCACCTTTTTTCCCTCATCAATTCTATGATTAACCTCATCCTTCATAAATCCATCCACCGACACGTCAACTAACAAGTATCTAAAAACATTCACTTCTTCCATACTCCTCCTCCCCAATTTGATATCCAATTTTTCTTTATCTAAATCATTTGATGCCCTCATCACCTTACTCTTTTCTATGTTCACTTTCAACTTTCTACCTTTACACACATTCTCAAACTCATCCACTAACCTTTGCAATTTTTCTTTAGAATCTCCCATAAGCACAGTATCATCAGCAAAAAGTAACTGTGTCAATTCCCATTTTGAATTTGATTCCCCATAATTTAATCCTACCCCTCTCCCAAACACCCTAGCATTTACTTCTTTTACAACCCCATCTATAAATATATTAAACAACCATGGTGACATTACACATCCCTGCCTAAGCCCTACTTTTACCGGGAAGTATTCTCCCTCTCTTCTACACACCCTAACCTGAGCCTCACTATCCTCATAAAAACTCTTTACAGCATTTAGTAACTTACCACCTATTCCATATACGTGCAACATCTGCCACATTGCTCTTCTATCCACTTTATCATATGCCTTTTCTAAATCCATAAATGCAATAAAAACTTCCCTACCTTTATCTAAATACTGTTCACATATATGCTTCAATGTAAACACTTGATCTACACATCCCCTACCCACTCTGAAGCCACCCTGCTCATCCACAATCCTACATTCTGTCTTACCTCTAATTCTTTAAATTATAACCCTTCCGTATACTTTTCCTGGTATACTCAGTAAACTTATTCCTCTATAATTTTTACAATCTCTTTTGTCCCCTTTCCCTTTATATAAAGGGACTATACATGCTCTCTGCCAATCCCTAGGTACCTTCCCCTCTTTCATACATTTATTAAACAAAAGTACCAACCACTCCAACACTATATCCCCCCCTGCTTTTAACATTTCTGTCATGATCCCATCAGTTCCAGCTGCTTTAACCCCCTTTCATTCTACGTAATGCCTCACGTACCTCCACCACACTTACATTCTGCTCTTCTTCACTCCTAAAAGATGGTATAACCTCCATGGCCAGTGCATGAAATTACCGCCTCCCTTTCTTCCTCAACATTTAAAAGTTCCTCAAAATATTCTCGCCATCTACCTAATACCTCCCTCTCCCCATCTACTAACTCCCCTACTCTGTTTTTTAACTGACAAATCCATACTTTCCCTAGGCTTTCTTAACTTGTTTAAACTCACTCCAAAATTTTTTTCTTATTTTCATTAAAATTTCTTGACAGTGCCTCTCCCACTCTTTCATCTGCTCTCCTTTTGCACTCTCTCACCACTCTCTTCACCTTTCTTTTACTCTCCATATACTCTGCTCTTCTTATAGCACTTCTTTGTAAAAACCTCTCATAAGCTACCTTTTTCTCTTTTATCACACCCTTTACTTCATCATTCCACCAATCACTCCTCTTTCCTCCTGCCCCCACCCTCCTATAACCACAAACTTCTGCCCCACATTCTAATACTGCATTTTTAAAACTATTCCAACCCTCTTCAACCCCCCCCCCACTACTCATCTTTGCTCTAGCCCACCTTTCTGCCAATAGTCGCTTATATCTCGCCCGAACTTCCTCCTCCCTTAGTTTATACACTTTCACCTCCCTCTTACTTGTTGTTGCCACCTTCCTCTTTTCCCATCTACCTCTTACTCTAACTGTAGCTACAACTAAATAATGATCCGATATATCAGTTGCCCCTCTATAAACATGTACATCCTGGAGCCTACCCATCAACCTTTTATCCACCAATACATAATCTAACAAACTACTTTCATTACGTGCTACATCATACCTTGTATATTTATTTATCCTCTTTTTCATAAAATATGTATTACTTATTACCAAATTTCTTTCTACACATAGCTCAATTAAAGGCTCCCCATTTACATTTACCCCTGGCATCCCAAATTTACCTACTACTCCCTCTATAACATTTTTACCCACTTTAGCATTGAAATCCCCAACCACCATTACTCTCACACTTGATTCAAAACTCCCCATGCATTCACTCAACATTTCCCAGAATCTCTCTCTCTCCTCTACACTTCTCTCTTCTCCAGGTGCATATACGCTTACTATAACCTACTTTTCACATCCAATCTTTATTTTACTCCACATAATCCTTGAATTTATACATTTGTAGTCCCTCTTTTCCTGCCATAGCTTATCCTTCAACATTATTGCTATTCATAAGAACATAAGAAAGGAGGAACGCTGCAGGAGGCCTGCTGGCCCATACTAGGCAGGTCCTTTACAATTCATCCCACTAACAAAACATTTGCCCAACCCAATTTTCAATGCCACCCAAGAAATAAGCTCTGATGTGAAAGTCCCACTCAAATCCAACCCCTCCCACTCATGTACTTATCCAACCTAGATTTGAAACTACCCAAAGTCCCAGCCTCGATAACCCAACTAGGTAGTCTGTTCCACTCATCAACTACCCTATTTCCAAACCAATACTTTCCTATGTCCTTTCTAAATCTAAACTTATCTAATTTAAATCCATTACTGCGGGTTCTCTCTTGGAGAGACATCCTCAAGACCTTATTAATATCCCCTTTATTAATACCTATCTTCCACTTATACACTTCGATCAGGTCTCCCCTCATTCTTCGTCTAACAAGTGAATGTAACTTAAGAGTCTTCAATCTTTCTTCATAAGGAAGATTTCTAATGCTATGTATTAATTTAGTCATCCTACGCTGAATGTTTTCTAACGAATTTATGTCCATTTTGTAATACGGAGACCAGAACTGAGCTGCATAATCTAGGTGAGGCCTTACTAATAAGATAAGATAAGATTTCGTTCGGATTTTTAACCCCGGAGGGTTAGCCACCCAGGATAACCCAAGAAAGTCAGTGCGTCATCGAGGACTGTCTAACTTATTTCCATTGGTGTCCTTAATCTTGTCCTCCAGGATGCGACCCACACCAGTCGACTAACACCCAGGTACCTATTTGCTGCTAGGTGAACAGGACAACAGGTGTAAGGAAACGTGTCGAAATGTTTCCACCCGCCGGGAATCGAACCCGGGACCTCCGTGTGTGAAGCGGGAGCTTTAGCCACCAGGCCACCGGGCCTGGTGGTCCAGTATGACCTCTGGACTTCTGTTGCTTACACTTCTTGACATAAATCCCAGTAATCTATTTGCCTTATTACGTACGCTTAGGCATTGCTGTCTTGGTTTAAGGTTGCTGCTCACCATAACCCCCAAGTCCTTTCGCAATCTGTATGGCTAAGTTCTACATCATTTAACTTATAAGTACTAGGGTTATGGGCACTCCCAAGCTTCAGAACCTTGCATTTATCTACATTGAACTGCATCTGCCACTTTTCTGACCAAGAATAGAGTTTGTTTAAATCCTCCTGAAGTTCCATAACATCTACGTTTGAATCAATTATCCTACCTATCTTTGTGTCATCGGCGAATTTGCTCATATCACTAGTAATTCCCTCATCAAGATCATTGATATATATTATAAACAACAACGGGCCCAATACGCTGATCCCTGTGGAACGCCACTTGTTACAGATCCCCACTCGGACTTAACCCCATTTATGGACACTCTGCTTCCTGTCAGTGAGCTATGACTCGATCCACGAGAGCACTTTTCCCCCAATGCCATGAGCTGCCACTTTCTTTAACAGTCTATGGTGCGGAACTCTATCAAAAGCCTTACTAAAATCTAAGTAAATAATATCAAATTCTTTATTGTGGTCAACAGCCTCAAAAGCTTTACTGAAGAAAGTTAATAAATTAGTTAGACAAGACCGGCCTCTTGTGAATCCATGCTGAGTATCATTAATCAAGCTGTGCTTATCGAGATGGCTTCTTATAATCTCAGCTATAATTGACTCTAGTAATTTGCCTACAATTGAGGTCAGGCTTTTTGGGCGGTAATTTGACGGTAAC